GCATTCAGGTTTCCACGAATTACGACAAGCATCGTTTTGACGTCACCACATATGCCACCCCAAACCATTAACCCTCCACTTCCAAACGGCCGGACCTGTTGGATACAGTTAGGCGCCAAACGTTCACCAAATCGTCGGTATACAAGCTGCCGTCCATCGTTTCTGAAGATGAGGAATCTGCTCTCATCAGAGAACATAACACGTGCCCAGTCCCGCCGTTGCCAACGTCGAACTCGCCTGGCCCAGATCAGTCTGTTGTTCCGGTGTCGAGGCGTCAGGAGCGGTCCGCGGTAGGGATGACGTGGCCGGATACCATACTGCCGTAGTCTCCTGTAGACGGTCTGTCGACTGATCCTGTGTCCCAGTGCTGTAGCCGCCGTTGACGTCGCTGTTACGGTGCGGTTCCTCAGGTGTAATACCCGGATGTAATGATCTTCACGGGGCGTGGTTACTCGTGGTCTTCCACTCCTGGGCCTGTCTGACGTCTGACCTGTCTGACGTAACCGCTGCATCAACCTGGTGATAGTGATGCGTGCGCAGCCCAACCTTCTGGCGACGTCGACGTGTGACGCTCCTTGTTGGACCATTCCAACGGCTCTCTCTCTCTCGATGGCTGTCAAACGTGGCATATCTTGTGTTCTTTTTGTTGCTGTGATATCAACGTGTCTGATCAGCCGTTTTATAAAGTTTTTCTGCACGTGCAGAACATGCTAGAGAGGGAAATGTCACTTTCACGAAATTAACGTTTTTTCCCGGAAGTGATCACGTGTTCCGGTATTTTTGTTTGACTATGCTGTGTTTGGGATGTGCAATACGAATTGGCATGTTTTCATACTTGACAATTCACTTAGTAAAAAAAAATTTTGAAAATAAGTCGGTATCGTTTCTTTTGGACACTAGTTTATATAAACCGCGTTGCGTTGAAGATGTGACTCGTAATTAGCTACAATGCCAGTTTAATATATCTGTTTCCGTTTGGATTCCGGTTTAGAAAAGGTCCCCAACAAACCTTTGTACTAACATGATTGTGTGTCATTGTACTCTGGCAGGGGTTGTGAGGCGTGGCTCACTATAACAATCACTGATTTGCCTGACCGGTTTGTCAGACCGGTGTATATTAAAAACCATATTACATTAGGTGTTTTTTTTATGATGGTACTCATAATTTTGTTACTTGAGATATTTCCGAACGGACGTTACACATGGTGACTTTAGATTTACAGTTTTTCGTTAATTTTAGACAATTATACAATATATAATTGATACATGATACATTTTTATCTTACATGGAAAGTTGGTATTGGCAAAGTGCTCCCTGTTTCTGACTGCAGCTACTGGTGGAGCGATCACTGATTGGGCTCCATTCTGCTCAACTCCTGCCAAGACAAACAGGCCCATCAGAGTGTGGTACTGGGATATTGCAGTCCTTAATTACCCTTAACATTTTGGCTTTACCTCTTAAACTCACAACGCCGTGATATAACTGGAATACTGTTAAAAGCGGCGTTAAATCCAACTCACTCACTCACTAAAACTCACGTTTCAGGCCATGTTGGCCTCAGATAACATACCGATAGTACTGTATATAATGAATAAGTTCATACAGCTGTATCATTTCTTGATCTTCACTACATGTACTTCAACAATTCTTGACTTCAAATATTTATGACCTTTTCCCTTATCTGCTCGTAGACTCATGTGACCAACTCCAATTGCCCTTAAATGGCCTTTAATATGATATTATATTTATTCCCTTGATTTAGATACAAAAGGCAGTATGATCAAGGGCATGTTCATATACAATCTTTTTATCGAGCTTCAATGGCATTTGTAAAAACAATTTCAAACTACCATGTAAACTACCGTGTGTGTATGTGTGTGTGTATGTGTTTGTGTACGTTCCGTCATGTTCTATCAACTTATTCAATCATGTTATATTTCATGTGCCGTGTGTGTTTGTGTATGTATGTGTGTATGTGTGTGTGTGTACGTTCCTTCATGTTCTATTAACTTATTCCATCATGTTGTATCTCATGTGCCGTGTATGTGCGTGTGTGTGTGTGTGTGTGTGTGTGTGTGTACGTTCCGTCATGTTCTATTAACTTATTTAATCATGTTGTATTTCATGTGCCGTGTGTGTGTATGTGCGTGCGTGCTTGCGTGCGTGCGTGCGGGCGTGCGTGTGTGTACGTTCTGTCATGTTGTATTAACTTATTCCGTCATGTTGTATCTCATGTGCCGTGTATGTGTGTGTGAGTGTGTGTGTGTGTACGTTCCGTCATGTTCTATTAACTTATTCAATCATGTTATATTTCATGTACCGTGTATGTGTGTGTGTGTGTGTGTGTGTGTGTGTGTGTGTGTGTGTGTGTGTGTGTGTGTACGTTCCGTCATGTTCTAATAACTTATTTAATCATGTTGTATTTCATGTGCCGTGTGTGTGTATGTGCGTGCGTGCTTGCGTGCGTGCGTGCGTGCGGGCGTGCGGGCGTGCGTGTGTGTACGTTCTGTCATGTTGTATTTCATGTGCCGTGTATGTGTATGTATGTGTGTGTGTGTGTGTGTGTGTGTGTGTGTGTGTGTGTGTATGTGTGTGTGTGTGTACGTTCCGTCATGTTCTATTAACTTATTCCATCATGTTGTATCTCATGTGCCGTGTATGTGTGTGTGTGTGTTTGTGTACGTTCGTCATGTTCTATTAACTAATTCAATCATGTTGTATTTCATGTGCTGTGTGTGCGTGTATTTGCGGGCGTGCGTGCGTGCGTGCGTGCGTGCGTGTACGTTCCGTCATGTTCTATTAACTTATTCAATCATGTTGTATTTCATGTGCCGTGTGTGTATGTGCGTGCGTGCGTGCGTGCATGCGTGTGTGTGTGTGTGTGTGTGTGTGTGTGTGTGTGTGTGCGTTCCGTCATGTTCTATTAACTTTTTCAATCATGTTGTATCTCATGTGCCGTGCATGTGTGTGTGTGTGTGTGTGTGTGTGTGTGTGTGTGTGTGTGTGTGTGTGTGTATGTGTATGTGTGTGTGTGTGTATGTGTGTGTGTTTGTGTGTGTGTGCGTGTGTACGTTCCCTCATGTTCTATTAATTATTCAATCATGTTGTATTTCATATGCAGTTATATGCAACCTGAAACGTTGTAACGCTCTGTTCTACTCGTCATCATTCATCAAGAAAATGGTCATGGGCTTTTCGTATACATCCGTGACAGTGTACTTTTTTTTCTCCAACATCAACATGCTCAAGGAATCCAAGTCACGCGCACGGGTTTCGGTTACCTCATTTGCATCCTTATGTCGTTAAGGTATGACACGCATTTGTTTACGCCAAATGTTTTTTTTCATGGATAAATGCTTCAGTTACAGGATAAATAATAAAAAATATCCCTGTTGTGTGTGTTGCCCCTGAACAAGAGCAGAACAACATATTCCGTGCCCAAACAACAAGACAGGAACACATCTTGGTTATATACGTGTTGCATCTTTTATGTCAGGAATGTACACGGCTATATCGATCCAAACACTTGCCACTGAACATTGACTACAAGTACTGCCACATGTAAAGAATCCAAGAGTCGTGTGATCTGTTATTGCTCGTCACAAAACACCATGGCACTGGAGTTAGGTCAACCATTCGGGTGAAGAATGTCCTTGCAATATCTGGCACCAGCTTAACAAACATATCACCCTAACCCTAATCTTATTCCTAACCATAACCCTCACCCAAACGACACTGCAACCATATCGCTTTGTTCAACAGCAGTTCGCAAATCGTCCATCGGTTGTATGTTGAACCGTGTGAAATATCAAACAGAAATGTAAGTAAAAGTGACAATACCTATTACCAAAATCATTCAAATATGTCTCCATTGTACAATTCTGACTTCATCCTAGTGCCAAATGTTTGGCGTGTATTGGCCCACCTGTGTCACAAATCACAAACACAGGCAAGCCAAGTCAATGTGGGAACAATATGAGGAACAATAGTGCGACGTACATTGGGGAACCGGCATGAGGCACATCTGTGATCATTTGGAAATGACACCTGCATGTCTGACACAAAACGTTTTCAAGGCGTTAGTTAGCCCTTGAAAAGCTGTGAACCCCGACAAACAGAAGTGAGCATTATCCTGATTCTATTGAACTCTAGAAAGCTAATGATCAGCAGAGGAAAGCAAACTTCGTGTTCTAGATTTCATCTAGCTATGAGAATGATCTATCTGATGGCATCAGCAACTCGATGATCATAAAACATTTATATTCTACTCAGGTGAAGTTGGTTGGTTGGTTGGTTGGTTGGTTGGTTTTTTAACGCCGCACTCGGCAATACTCCAGCTATATGACGGGGGTCTGTAAATAATCGAGTCTGGACCAGACAATCCAGTGATTGATATCATGAGCATCGATCCGCGAAATTTGGATCGATGAACGTGCATCAACCAAGTCAGCGAGCCTGACCACCCGATCCCGTTAGTCGCCTTTTACGACAAGCATATTCGCCTTTTACGGCAAGCATTGGTTGCTGAAGACCTATTCTACCCCGGATCTTCACGGGTCACTCACGTGAAGTGATGGCTGTGAGTGTTTAGCAACTGATTAAAACAGGAATGTGGAAGGGCATGGTTTTATCATTACAAAAAAAGAAGAATACATGTTCGAAAGGTTCCGATAGTGAAATGTTAATTATTTATTACGGTGATATACACTGAATACCTATTTTTGTTCCATGTAAATGTATATATTAAACATTAAACAGAATAACGGAACACTGAGAGGTTTGACATATGATAACAGTGTTTGGGTTATTGATTTTAAAGTTTAGATGTTCATTTCAGGCGAAGACATTCAGATTAAATTCACTCGCTTGTGAGGGAAGTGTCATGATCTTCTGCAGTTATTATAAGCAACCTTAGACTTCAGAGAAAATGTATCTGATATGGCTGTGTTTAATGTTTGACTCGATGGTCACGGTTGAACTAATGAAACATTCTGACATAATGAATGAAACAACAGACAAACGGGCAGAAGACGGGTTTCTTGACTTCGTTGTCAATATGTGCAAACTGAAATGTGTAGCCAGATCCTCATGTGTAAACGTTGGCTACCAAAGTCTTTCCCTTGTGTGTTACACGTTGAAGAAGCAGCTGGACGAGACAGCAGAATGTGGACGATTCACTTTGATACCAAAGCGCAACACAAATGTAAGTATGTCAGTTAATGTTGCTTTCAGCCACAATCAGAACAAAAGTCAGCACTATCAAGAAAGGCTATAAAGGCATCTGAACCAGCCAGGCAAACCCAGGACCATCCCTCGTTGTCAGTGCATGATGACACGAAATCAAGCAAGTCATACCACCAAATTTCGTTTCAGACACCTCTTGTGACAGGTATTAGTAACTTGAGAACAAAGTTACGATCCAATAGTTTTATCGCCGAGATATGACAGAGAAATAGGCCATGTGACCATGGTGCAATGATCCAACAGGTCAATTGGTTAAGATGCAATATATGACGTAATAGGACTTGTATCCAACAGATTATATACAATAATAATTCAGGCGATTACTGGACAGAATCATCAAACAGGATGCAATGTTGTCTAGTTCCAGTGCTCAAACTGTCATGTGTAGAAGACGTTTAGAGATTATACTAATTGTATTTTACTTTGTACTGTGTTAGTGCTTCTGCATAAAATAAAAAGTAAAACATTCAGTAAGGAATATCATGAATGTAAACGATAAATCATCTTGTTCATACTAAAACTGATTTATTAGTTTCCTAATAACACATAGCTGCAAAGAAGATGTACTATTTTATAGAAACAGAAAATATATTTTCAGCTAAGATTTTAACCATATTAACCAAGTTTTACGCAGGGGACAGCACAATTCTGTAATTTACCATTTAGCTGAGAATGTAAGTGTAAGAGAATCAGACTTAAAATCAAAACGAGTTAATCTGCACAAAGCTCTCTTGTAAGGGGTACATTCACTTCTTCCTTCAGGTCCGAGCTGGGTCCTGCGCATTCAGGACTTGCCAAGGTAGCAGATGCCTGCAGACTGGTCCTGGAAAAGCTGCCTGTGTTAAAGGTAACTGTCATCATGAATGTTATGTCAGTTGAACAATACACGTTAGTGGCAATCTGCCTTAAAAGTGGAAGGTCGGTGGTTCGATCTCGTAGCTACGTCATATCAACATTCGCTAAAAGATGGTACGTTTTGTCCCCCTACCTGACGATCGGAGTTTAGGGGATGAAACAATGACTGGCCGGCTAGAAGTCAGCACACTGTGTCTGAGTGGGTGCCGGGGTTCAACTTGGGCATGTTATCTCACTGAAACAGACTGCCATACGTATGGTTTAGTAAAAGCTCAGCGGCAAACACGTCCATGCACGTCGCTCTATAATTCAAATGGGGCGGTGGGGTAGCCTAGTGGCTAAAGCGTTCGCTCGTCACACCGAAGGTGAGGTGAGCTGAAATGGGGTTTAACGTCGCGTCCAAGATTATTGGACTTACATAGCGACGTGCATGCACGCGCGTGTGTGTGTGTGTGGCTGCTTGTACAAGTCTGGACTGATGCCGATTTATAGTGCTAGCTCACTGAGATACCATGCCGCAGTTTAACATGCATACCCCACTCAGACACAGTATACTGATTCCGAGCCGACCAGTCCTTTTTTTTGCCCCTTAATGCCGAGCGCCAGACGGGGTCACAACAAGTACCTTTCTTTGACGTCTTTTGGTATGACGCGGTCGGGGATCGAACCCAGGACCTTCTGCTCTCCGGGCGGATGCTCTACCACTAGACCACAGAGGCGGTCTCACACCGAAGACCCGCGTTCGATTCCCAACATGGGTACAATGTGTGAAGCCCATTGCTGGTGTCCCCCGCCGTGATATTGCTGGAATATTTCTAAAAGTGGCGTAAAACCATACTCACTCACTCACTCACTCTATAATTCAAATATTCCTGTTATGACCCACTTCATTTCATCATCACTGGTGGATTATATTTAATATCGTATCATCTATTCCTATGTTTACTTCGAAGATATACAAATTGTAAGAATACTTTGTATGCAAAATATGGAGAACCATGCCTGTCAACAAAGACGATTGATGAAGATCATGAACAAGCGTGGCCACACATATATTGTTTCATCTCAAATACTAGAACTCTTTGGGTGGATTCCCGTCGAAGATTTGAAACTACACTCTCAGCGTAAATCACTAAATCGCCAGCATACGAAGAAACTATAATCCTTAATGAAACATATGTTTAATTTGACCACTTTCTAAAAGCTATCCGTAAAGGCGACTATGCTTGTCGTAAGGGGCGACTAACGGGATCGGGTGGTCAGGCCCGCTGACTTGGTTAATGCATGTCATCGATCCGAATTGCGTGGATCGATGCTCATGATGTCAATCACTGGATTGTCTGGACTAGACTCGATGTTTTTTACAGGCCGCCGTCATATAGCTGGAATATTGTTGAGTGCGGCGTTAAACAAAATACTCACTCACTCACTCTAAAAGGCATTGTCTATTCATGGTTTTCGGCAGTGGGGCAGTGCCAATTTAAACCTATCTGGTATACAAGGGGCACACAATGTACATGATATAGACTATCAGCTATCTCAATGCCATTTTCTTGAAGCCTCGGTGTCAGAAAGGGTTAGGTCGCTGATTGTGTGTGCTGACGATTAGGTGCCTAACTCTGAGAGTGTGGGTTTGAATATTGGATAGGACTCAACCCAAAAATGTACTGGAATATGACATATTCTACATTTGAACATTTTTAAAAGGCATCCCCTATTCATACACGTTTTTTGTCAAATTTTGTTTCATCTATTATAACCTTGACGGAGAAAGCAGTTTTTTGCAGGGCAGGCAATTAAAGAAAAGTGCTCATGAACACATAAACAAGTGCAAGTGTAGTAGATACATATTAATATTTTTAATACAATTTTGTTTTGTTACCTGTTAGTACATGTCTAAACATGTGGAAAGTGATTTACATGTCTTCTTGCAATAATCCGTTTTCGATATTAGTGAGCGTCTGTATGTCGTCTTCCAGATGCTCATGATCAAGCACAAAATCAGACCATTGTCAACATTACTCTCATTGATGCTTGCTTGCATGGAGACCTGCGTCAAGTCAAGTACATATTGTCTCAAGGTCGTGCGAACATCAATACACGAGGGCAGAATGGCACGACCCCGGTGATGATAGCAGCAGTGAAAGGACATAGAGAAATGTTTGAATTACTTGTGAAGAAAGGTTCAGATCTGTCTCTGTTGGATGATGATGATAACAATATCCTACATTTGGCCTGTAGAGAGGGAAACGTGGAGATAGTAAAGTACATCCACTCACAGAAAATCATTGACATTGAAAGTAGAGGAGCCTTCGAGGAAACGCCTTTGATGTTTGCAGCAGAGTTTGGAAAGGGAGAAGTGTTTTCATATCTTATGGAAGTAGGAGCTAATATATATAAAGTGGATAGGGACAGTGAAAACATCCTTCATCTGTCCTGTAAAGGAGGAAATGTAGAGATAGTGGATTATGTCCTCAAACAAAATGTTATAGACTTAAACAGTAGAGAAAAGAAAGGGATGACACCATTGTTACTCTCAGCATATTTTGGGGAAAGAGATGTGTTTGACTTACTAATAGGAAGAGGAGCTGATACATCCAGTGTAAATGATTTTGGTGAGAACATCCTTCATTTTTCCTGTCGAGGAGGAAATGTGGATATAGTGAAGTATGTGCTCAAGCAAAACGTTGTAGACATTGAAAGTAGAGATAACGTAGGGATGACACCAGTGTTGCTAGCAGCGTTTTGGGGGAAAAGAGATGCGTTTGACTTATTGATAGGGAGAGGAGCTGATCCAACAGTTGTGGATGAAAACGGTGACAACATCCTTCATCATTCCTGTCGAGGGGGAAATGTCGACATAGTGAAATCTGTCCTCAAACAAAACGTTGTAGACATAAACAGTAGAGGCAATGGAGGCATGACACCAGTGTTGATGGCAGCGGTTTTCGCGAAAAGAGATGTGTTTGACTTACTGATAGGGAGAGGAGCCGATACAACAGGAGTGGATGAAGACGGTGAAAACATCCTTCATCTGTCCTGTAAAGGAGGAAATTTAGAGATAGTGAAATATATCCTCAAACAAGACATTGTGGACATAAACAGTGACAGGACCGACGGGATGACGCCATTGTTACTCTCAGCATATTTGGGGGAAAGAGATGTGTTTGACTTACTAATTGGAAGAGGAGCTGATATATCCAGTGTAAATGATTTTGGTGAGAACATCCTTCATTTTTCCTGTCGAGGAGAAAATGTGGATATAGTGAAATATGTGCTCAAGCAAAACGTTGTAGACATTAACAGTAGAGATAACGAAGGGATGACACCAGTATTGCTAGCAGCGTTTTGGGGGGAAAGAGATGCGTTTGACTTACTGATAGGGAGAGGAGCCGATACAACAGTAGTGAATGAAAACGGTGACAACATCCTTCATCTGTCCTGTAAAGGAGGAAATTTAGAGATAGTGAAATATGTCCTCAAACAAGACATTGTGGACATTGAAAGTAGAGATAACGAAGGGATGACACCAGTGTTGCTAGCAGCGTTTTGGGGGGAAAGAGATGCGTTTGACTTTCTGATAGGGAGAGGAGCTGATACGTCCAGAGTAGATGATCATGGTGACAACATCCTTCATCTTTCCTGTCGAGGAGGAAATGTGGATATAGTGAAATATGTCCTCAGACAAAAAATTGTGGACATTAACATTGAAGGGAGGGATGGGAAGACACCAGTAATGCTGGCAGCAACAAATGAGAAACAAGACGTGTTTAACCTGCTTTTGAGCGAAGGAGCTGATGTTTCAAAATTAGATGGTAATGAAAACGGTTTCTAGTGGAGACAAGGGGCACGGGTGGCCCAGTCGTCTAAGGCGCCGCGATTCGCTGTGCAGAGTTGCGTCCCTTGGGCATGCCAGAAACCTATTATTGTGGTTTCGAATCCCGGTTCGCCCCGATTATGTTTCTAGGTTTGTCAGCACCATACCCATGCTCGTGGGTTTCACCAAAGTGGTAAACGTCTTCGACCTGCATCACTTCGGGCTTTCCTCCCACATTAATCTGACACGCTGCGATATAACTGGAATACGGTTTAAAGCGGCGTAAAACCCAACTCACTCACTCACTCACTCACTTCTAGTGGAGACGAACGTAATGATGTATTAATTACTCAAGTTTTGCACGTTATCTCACTCAATGTTTACATAAGACATAACACGTATAAGAGTGATGTATGAAGTTATTAGCTGTTGATTCGACCATAAGCTTTTCCTCCAAGATATCTACCATCCTCATCAGTGTTATCAACTTTTGACGACGGAAAAACCTGGAGACCGCCTCCGTAGTCTAGTGGGTGGAGAATCTACGCAGATAGAGCATAAGGTCGGTGTTCGAGCCACGGCCGTGTCATACCAAAAGACGTTGAGAATTTCGTACTTGTTTTTTTTCCTTGTCTAGCGCTCTGTATTAAGGGGATAAAACAAAGACTTGGGGTCAGTATAGTATGTTTGAGTGGCGTAAAACTGTTAAAACATGTTAAACTTTGACACGGTATATCAGTGGACTAGCACTATTAGACACACACATACACACACACACACACACACACACACACACACACACACACACACACACACATGCACATGAACGCTGTTTAATTCCCATGTAAGAACAATAATTTAATCTCACATCAACCCCTTAAACCTGAAGACATGCCATACCCAACTTATAACACGTGGGTAAAAATGACTGCACACTTTACTAACATGTGACCACACTCTCTACTAGTTGTGTGATGGGAAATGCAATGCACATGTCGATCTTTATAGAAGATTGGAGGGTGCGGTTGGCCCAGTCGTCTAAGGCGCCGCAATTCGCTGTGCAGAGTTGCGTCCCTTGGGCACGCCAGAAACCTATGATTGTGGGTTCGAGTCCCGGTTCGCCCCGATTATGTTTCTAGGTTTGTAAGCACCATACCCGCGCTCCTGGGTTTCACCGAAGTGGTTAAAGTCTGAGACCTGCATCACTTCGGGCTTTCCACCCACATTAAGCTGACACGCCACGATATAACTGGAATACTGTTAAAAGCGGCGTTAAACCCAACTCGCTCACTCACTCACTTACATAGAAGATTGCTGCCTTCAGTTGGGATATCTAAAGTAAATAGTCCCATGTGTAATTAAAACCATGTGATAATAAATTAATTAAATAATTAATTCCGGTAGTAAATCCATATTGGCCCTCCATCGCTTGGATCGCTGCAATGAAATTACATCACAATGCTCTGCAGACCATTGTGACGTCACTGGTTACCATGACGTCACAATCAAATGACATCACTAATGGCTCTGCTACTGAAGCTGTTAGCAGTATTTTCTACACTGAAGACACTGCTAATTACTGTCTACAAATTGAAAAAGTTGGAAGAATGATGTTGGATGATAAATAAAATCTCACCCTCGTGTCTTTTTATATCAAATATATCAACACTCGTTGATAAAAGTGGAAAAAAATGCTTGGCAAGCCTCGGAATTTTTCCAATTTCATCAACTCGTGTTGATATATTTGATATCAAAAGACACTCGGGTGAGATTCCCTATGTATCGCAGAGATAACTTCACGAAGGGAGACAATCGACTTGATATTGCGTTTACATTGAGGCGCCGCAGAGGCGTAGTAATAATATATCCTTTCTGGTATTATTTGTATTGGAAGGACATGTATTTGAGGTGGTGGCGTGCAGACAATGTAGCTATATAGTCGAGGAGGGTTGTGTAGATGACATAAAAGTATAAAATATTATCAAACATCCTAAGTGCTTACATTTTAAACATTCGGGAGATTACTTGACAAATCGTTCCAATCCAAGTTTATGTCTTTTATAATGTTTCAACATTGAATAACAAAATGTTGTTGTACAGACGAAATTTTGAACTGATAAGTTGCTTCAATGAATGGTTATTTTGTATATTGTAAACAGTCGACTGCCTATGTTTGTAATTATTTTGAACCTGACAATGGACAGGCTAATGATAGGTGCATTTTTATGTTGATGGGTCGGACAAGGTGACCCTTCAAACTGAGGGGTCCTCTGCTGTTGTCAAACAAAAGTTGTCAGTCAAAGGCAGAATCGGCAGTGGGAAAAAGTATAAAATATTATCAAAATATCCTGAAGTTCTTACATTTCAAACACTCAGGAGATAACTTAACCATTTGGAAGGACATGTATTGGAGGTGGCGGCGTGCAGACAATGTAGCTATATAGTCAAGGGAGGGTTGTGTAGATGACATAAAAGTATTAAATATTATCAAACATCCTGAAGTGCATACATTTCACTGATAAGTTGCTTCAATGAATGGTTATTTTGTATATTGGAAACAGTCGACTGCCTATGTTTGTAATTATTTTGAACCGGACAATGGACAGGCTAATAATAGGTACATTTTTATGTTGATGGGTCGGACAAGGTGACCCTTCAAACTGAGGGATCCTCTGCTGTTGTCAAACAAAAGTTGTCAGTCAAAGGCAGAATGGGCAGTGGGGAGGGCCAGAGAGGCTGAGGTGAGGGATCATTGGCAGATCAAGGAAGATTAGCAGCCCCTTCACGAACTCCATCAATGGACGCGCCAGGACGAGTTAGGTCGATGTCTGAGTCCCGACCACATCATGTAACTTTGTGCGATTGAATTAACATACTTCTCCGTTCCACTGGCTTTGATATACTTTTCTTGTGTGAAATTGAGACATTGTTTCTACGTTGGTTGGTTGGTTGGTTGTTTAACGCCGCACTCAGCAATATTCTAGCTATATGACGGCGGTCTGTAAATAACCGAGTCTGGACCAGCCAATCCAGTGATTGATATCATGAGCATCGATCCATGCAATTGGGATTGATGACATGAATCAACCAAGTCAGCGAGCCTGACCACCCCATCCCGTTAGTCGCCTTTTACGACAAGCATAGTCACCTTTTACGGCAAGAATGGGTTGCTGAAGACCTATTCTACCCCGGAATCTTCACGGGTCTGTTTCTACGTAAAGACGGCAACTATTGATTGGTAGATCAAGGGTTAAACTTGGACTAACAATTGATGAGAATCTAGCTATATTTATTAAATCAGTGTGCCTTCGTTTAATGTGGGCGGACATGTGTAGAGATCATCGTTTATTTGTTTGGTTTAACCAATTGTGTAACTTTTTTCAAATTCACCTTCATCCGCGTCCCAACAGTATACATGACAAATGTAACGTATTGTGTTTATGTTCGTTTTGTTATTGTAACATACTAAAATAGATTCACCCCTCGTATAGCATATGTTCCCAGTTTTATTGTATCTTCTTGCCGATTTAGAGATTGTGTCTGAGATGTTGGCTTTGCTATATGATACCGCGATGTTGTTGTGCTGAATGTAAATAATAATGTAACTGTAGTTATTGAAGATAATCCAGTAATTAAACACTTACAGTACAATACTTATAATTAATTCCAATTATACAATGTATGCTATTTCTCATGTCACTATCAATACATTGCTATTTGTATATGTATCATGTTTGCGAGAGGCATTCAGATAAGCAAAATTTGCTTGTTTGTCAATCCCTCCATTTTATGGAAATAAATATGTTTATATCGAAAATTCCTTGAAATGCATTCCTCCCTTTCCTATGCAGCTGGACCGACTCCGTGGTCTAGTGGTAGAGCGTCCGCCCGAAGAGCGGAAGGTCCGGGGTTCGATCCTCGGCTGCGTCATACCAAAAGACGTTTAAAGATGGTACTTGTTGTTACCCTGTCTGGCGCTCGACATTAAGGGGCTAAAACAAGAACTGGTCGGCTCGGAGTCAGTATACTGTGTCTGAGTGGGGTATTCATGTTAAACTGCGGCATGGTATCTCAGTGAGCTAGCACTATAAATCGGCATCAGTCCGGAATAGTACAAGCAGCCACACACACACACACACACACACACACACACACACACACACACGTGCATGCACGTCGTTGGATCAGTGCAATATTTTTGGACGCGACGTTAAACCTCATTTCAGCTCACCTCACCCTATGCTGTTAGCTCCCAAAATATTTTACAGTTGATGAGGCTAGATAGGGGAGAGACCTTTTTATAGAAAAGATTATTATAAACTTCATTTAAAGGTTAGATAAGGGAAGATGAATATCATAAATAGTATATACATTATCAGGAAAGGTAGTTAGAGGAGAATTTATATTTGAAATATTATACACGTTGATAACAACGTTATAATACATTATTAAGAAGGATAGAAAGGTGAGGGTTTGTCAAGGAAATAGTGGATGTATATATCTATTGCGGATATATACATACTTTAGAAAGAGGGATAGTTTTAGGGGGTGTAGTGTTATTATGAGACAACTTAAATGGACCGAAAGGGGTAGATTTTGGTGCGGGGTGTACATGATATACATAATCTACATCGGGTAGATAGACTGGAGATGATAACCATTGAATGTTCTCTATTTCTTCTAGTAAAGCCAGTGTTTGTTTGTTTGTTTGTTGTTTAACACCGCACTCAACAATATTCCAGCTACATGACAGCGCCCGATCTCGTTAGCATTATAACCAGGATGACATCATGGCCAGAAAATTTGCACTGCGGGAATCCTTTCTGAGAAAATAACATTGCATTATAACCAGGGAAATTTGCACTGCGGAAATCCTTTCTGAGAAAAAAACATTGCATTAAAACCAGGGAAATTTGCACTGCGGAAATCTTTTCTGAGAAAAGCATTGCCTTATAACCAGGGTGGCATTAAAACCAGGAAAATTTCCCTAAGGATTCCTTATTTAGACATGCACCATATAATACATTAGCTATGACCTTTACACATTGTTTGTGTCATTTCAAATAACCTGCCTCGCTTGATTCAATAATAACTAGGCAATGTCTGTCGTAAGAGATGACTAACGGGATCGAGTGGTCAGGCTCCCTGACCTGGTTCATGCGTGTCATCAATCCCAATTTTGTGGATCGATGCTCATGATATCAATCACTGGATTGTCTGGTCCAGACTCGATTTATTTACAGACCGCCGTCATATAGCTGGAATATTGCTGAGTGCGCGGTAAAACAACAAACAAACCAATAACAACTATTTGAAGGTATTCATCATCACTGACGTTGTTTGCAATATGCAACGTGGCTTTTCCATGGATGAAGGTTGGTGAGCAGTCTGTGCCAAAAACTTTTACAACTAGCCCAACCTTGGCTCTTAAATTAGCATCATATTCAGTAGATTTTAGTTTGATTATACGTAATATTTTTTGACAGAATGTTACTCGTTCTTTGGACAAGTGGTTAAATTCGCAGACTGGTTGAATAAAAATGTATTATAAAATGCCTTTAGGCTCACTTTTAGAATAATGTTTTTATTGAAAATATCATGATTAAAGTATCATGGCTGTAAGTGGGTCATCCTTTTATTGTCCCTTATTTGAGTCACCGTAAATCTTGAAATTAACGCGAGCGTGAATAAATGTGAAACATGCCAGTGGCCTTTGTTCGCATTAATGAAATTTCGCATTTACACCTCCAAAATTACTATTAACAGTAAGACGGCCTCACTGCACACTTTGGATAGCGGAAATACCAACTTGAATATATGCACAAACATGGTTTATTGAGCAGCAGTTGTAACAAGTACATGACAATGTCAATTAAAGGATAGGAATTACAAATAGACATCTGGTGAGTTATCACTGCTGGGGTCAAGAGTTCTACCCACTCGTGTCAAACTAGGCGTCATTGACCACTCCAAATCAGTGAACTTTTGTTGATTTCTGTATTTTTTCAGATGAACAATGAGGGTAGGATAGGGTAGGACACTCGCTCACCCTTTCGCGAAGACCTGGTATCATATTTGACAGTGATTCATATACACATGCATATGATGTGGTCGAAATAGTATAATGGTCATTTCAAATGAGATTTCTTAAGGTGAGTGAGTGTGGTTTTACGCCGCTTTAAGCAATATTTCAGAAATATCACAGCAGTATTGAGGAGCATCCATTTGATTTGTTTGTGGCTGGGGTTGGTGTCGGGGAATTTTTTTTTCACAATTGTTTTTACTCCAGGTATAGGGTTATTTGGATGGGACTATACTGAATGGTTTCTGTTGCTAGTGTCGGATGTCATTCCGTATAAATATTTTGATACCGATCCGCATCAAACCCTCGGTAGCCCGGACACAACCTTTTCGAAGGAGATGGCGACAAGGTGCAGAACGATACATCCAATTTCTGTCTAATAAATGATATGTGACGCCTTGCATCATTCTCCGGACCCGTGAAGAATCCGGGGTAGAATAGGTCTTCAGCAAACCCATTCTTGCCGTAAAAGGCGACTATGCTTGTCGTAAAAGTCGACTAACGGGATCGGGTGGTCAGGCTCGCTGACTTGGTTGATACATGTCATCGATCCAAATTGCGTGGATCGATGCTCATGATGTCAATCACTGGATTGTCTGGTCCAGACTCGATTATTTACAGACCGCCGTCATATAGCTGGAATTTTGCTGAGTGCGGCGTTAAACAACAGACAAACAAAAACAAACATTATTCTCCAACGACGATAGACTCGATCTTGATCACCCGGTCTTCATATCGTAACACATTACAGTTGTGTCTAGATCCGGATTATTACATCAGAGTCAATTTCCAATCATTAACGACAAGCTCGAACTAATCTGACATAGTCAATCACTATCAGATGTTAATATCGTCAAACGCACGAACGCACGCACGCACGCACGCACGCACGCACGCAAGCACGCACACAGCTTGTTAAACGAGTGAGTGAGTTGGGTTTAACGCCGCTTTTAACATTATTCCAGTTATATCACGGCGTGTCAGCTTAATGTGGGAGGAAAGCCCGAAGTAATGCAGGTCGAAGACGTTTACCACTTCGGTGAAACCCACGAGCACGGATATGGTGCTGACAAACCTAGAAACATAACTGGGGCGAACCGGGATTCGAACCCACAATCATAGGTTTCTGGCATGCCCAAGGGACGCAACTCTGCACAGCGAATCGCGGCTTGTTAAACGAATCGTGCTGTTGTTATATATCCTGAACCTGAACCAGATATAGCAACAACAGGGGGTGCCTGGCAGTATTCCAATGTTATGGTGAGCAAACGAGATATTTCGTGACCTTTACCTTTATGATTGATCTTGAAGTGATGCAGGAAAGATGTCATCACTCATCAAGTGTTCAGTAAATGTGTTACCATACCAAATATTGGGTATTGCGCTTCTTGTTTGAAGGAATATGTATGTATGACTGATTTACTATACTATTGGGGCGGTGGGGTACATGTCATCGGTCCCAATTGCGTGGATCGATGCTCATGATATTAATCACTGGATCGTCTGATCCAGACTCGATTATTTACAGACCGCCGTCATATAGATGGAATATTGCTGAGTGCGGCGTTAAACAACAAACCAACCAACCAGCCACTTCGGTGAAACACATTGCCAACACACGTAGTGATGCAGGTCTCAGACGTTTACCACTTCGGTGAAACACATTGGCAACACACGTAGTGATGCAGGTCTCAGACGTTTACCACTTCGGTGAAACACACGAGCAACACACATAGTGATGCAGGTCTCAGACGTTTACCACTTCGGTGAAACACATTGGCAACACACGTAGTGATGCAGGTCTCAGACGTTTACCACTTCGGTGAAACACATTGGCAACACACATAGTGATGCAGGTCTCAGACGTTTACCACTTCGGTGAAACACATTGGCAACACACGTAGTGATGCAGGTCTCAGGCGTTTACCACTTCGGTGAAACACACGAGCAACACACGTAGTGATGCAGGTCTCAGACGTTTACCACTTCGTCGAAACACACGAGCAACACACGTAGTGATGCAGGTCTCAGACGTTTACCACTTCGGTGAAACACATTGGCAACACACGTAGTGATGCAGGTCTCAGACGTTTACCACTTCGGTGAAACACATTGGCAACACGCGTAGTGATGCAGGTCTCAGACGTTTACCACTTCGGTGAAACACATTTGGCAACACACGTAGTGATGCAGGTCTCAGACGTTTACCACTTCGGTAAAACACGAGCAACACACGCAGTGTTGCAGGTCTCAGACGTTTACCACTTCGGTGAAACACATTGGCAACACACGCAGTGATGCAGGTCTCAGATGTTTACCACTTCGGTGAAACACACGAGCAAGGGCATGGTGTTGACACACCACGAAACGTTATCAGTGGGAACCGGGATTCGAACTCACAATCATAGGTTTCTGGCGTGCCCAAGGGATGCAACTCTGAACAGCGAATTGCTGCGTCTTAGACGACTGGGCCAACCGAGCTCCCTTGTCGAGTGGAGTAGCTAGGTTGGTGACCATGTTCGGCAAGCTTGATTTTTTTTTAGAGTTTCTAGGTCATTGGTCCTGACCCACATTAATACTAGCAAATAGTGCAACATAGAGCACATGGATATGTCGTCAACTAGGGCTGGGACGAGTCCAAGTATACTACCCGGGTACCCATCACCCTATTACCCGACCCTACCCGGATTCCCGCTGTAGATATCTAGAGACCCATTCGAACCGAGTACCCGATTTACCCGTCCCAGCCCTATCGTCAACAGTTTAAAATGTCAGCAATGATAGTTAAATAATAATCACTGAGTACCAAAAACTAACAATCTAATGGAACGAGTGAGTGAGTGAGTGAGTGAGTGAGTGAGTGAGTGAGTGAATGAGTGAGTGAGTGAGTGAGTGAGTGAGTGAGTGAGTGAGTGAGTGAGTGAGTGAGTGAGTGAGTGAGTGAGTGAGTGAGTGAGTGAGGCCACTAGGCAATGAGGGTCCCCATAGCTCTAACCTGTAGTCCAATGTTTCATTGGCAAGCAATACAGGGGCATAGAATACATGTGTCGGTTAACCGCAGCCCTAACATAAAGCTTACACATGCAGCAAGAGAAATAAAGAGGCCAGCATAGATATAAATAAATCATGGGGAAACCCAGTACTTTCACGCGACACTCGAAAGTCGCTTGTAATGTTAAAGTCCGGGTGACCTAAATAAACCGACAGAGTACGCGTAACTACTCACCTGCGCTCATACAACAAGCCTATACATGGGAACTTTAAACATACGTAAACCTTACAGTTTGGAAGAAGGTGTTGAATGTGCCACAAACGCTGTTATCAATGCATATCACTATAGTGATAGCCTAGTTTGACCCATCGTAACACACTTCGGCTCCTCGGTTATTACGACCTCAGCAATGAATTGTTTCTATTAATAGTCACACATATGTTTCGATAGAGTGGGATAGCCCATTCTGATTCTATATACCATGCGACACAGGGGATTTCCCTGATAATATTCCCCACATACAAGGGCTATATAAATCGAAAGAGTATCAATGTCCTCATACCAGTTGTTGTTTTACAGCGCTGTTCGCTTTTCTAGTCTTCCCCACAGATCTCAGCAGGAAAGATGGCAAAATCAGCATATGTATTGGTGTTCACTGTCCTAATGAACGTCTCCTTTGCTTTTGGACTTCCAGCATTAATGCGGAATAGACCTCCGAAACGTAAGTCACTATTACTGTTGAAATATGCTGTCGATGCGCTACGGTCACATTTTGAATTTACAAAGGACCACACGATATGCTTGATCTTGTATTTGTAGTTTGTAGCAAATAGCCGGACCTTCGGCTCAATCTACTTATGGCGAAATAATGGTGTTCCCTTCAAATATATGATTGGAATAGTGTATGTCAATATATGTGGTTCACTTAACATAATTACCTACAAATACATATCCTATAATGTTTTAGCAATGGATTGATTCAGAAAGATGATCACTGCCACATGAGAGAAGTGCTACAGCATTCCCAATCAGATGGCCTCACTGTACTGTAACCCCGTTTGTGACGTCTTCCACTGTTTGACGTTAGCATTGGAATGACGTGGCACATTAGAAATTCAGGAAAATACATAATTAGCATATTAACATACATACATATATATACACGTATCTGTATATATATATATGTGTGTGTGTGTGTGTGTGTGTGTGACAGAGAGAGGGAGTGAGAGAGAGAGAGAGAGAGAGAGGGAGAGAGCGTAGGCATTCGCATGTTTCACCGTATCATTGACACACATAACACCACGCTTAAAATATATATAATGTATGCACTGAGCAGAAGGAATTCATACATTGTTTGGTTTATATTTTGTAGTTGACCACGTCATACATCACCGAAGTCATAGGACAGGAGAGCTGCCAACAGCAGGCTGCCAAGTCTACACTGCAATCCGCCAGTGCCAGACAACACTTCCAGGAGCTACCTGTACAGATGCCAGATGCCAGATTATGAACAACATCTGCAAGGCTGCACTTCCAGTCAGACATGCACCTCCAGTCAGACATGCACCTCCAGTCAGACATGCACCTCCAGTCAGACATGCACCTCCAGTCAGACATTACAGCTGTATGTCCAGCCTTGTAAAGTGTTACGTCAACACCATGGAGACGCTTTTCAACAGTAACAAGAACTACCCTGAAACACCGAATGGTGTGACACAATTCTTAGTTGACCTGGGCAAGTCACAGAATTGTTCACGGAGAGAGACTGGTTGAGGACGGGAGCATGTAACGATGTAAGGGACGAAACCTATATTGCTCTGGGTGATCACTCAAAGAATGGGATTCCTACTGTCCAACCAGCGTATTCAACCGTGAACATTTAGTATCAGTGCTAAATAAATAACATTAAAAATCCACTTCTATGTGAAGCACGTGTGGGTTCAAAATGGAGACAAATATGAGTGAGGGAAGTCACTCTGCGAAGGATAATCACAGAATTCAATCTGTAATACCTTTCCTGAACAGGACTGTGTTTAGAATGCTAGAGACCATTCTCTGTGTCCTGGGCCAGGATATTGCTGGAATGTAGCTGTAGGCGGCGTAAAACTTCATTTACTCCCTTACTCAAAATGATAATTTATAAACTACGTCTTTTGAAATACGGACATTATGAAGAAAACTTCTGCCACCTTTTCTCATTAGAGTGTTCGCCTTCTTCGCCCAGACGAGCAAATTACAATTGTGTGGAGTACCTGTGGTGACAAGGACAATCTCCCTGTGGGTAGCTCGGCGACACGGGTGGCCCAGTCGTCTAAGGTGCCGCGATTCACTGTGCAGAGGTGCGTCCCTTGGGCACGCCAGAAACCTATGATTGTGGGTTCGAGTCCCGATTCGCCCCGATTATGTTTCTAGGTGTGTCATCATCATACCCGTGCTCGTGGGTTTCACCGAAGTGGTAAACGTCAGTGTGTGTGTGTGTGTGTGTGTGTGTGTGTGTGTGTGTGTGTGTGTGTGTGTGTGTGTGTGTGTGTGTGTGTGTGTCTATGTATGTGTACGTGTATACGTTTATCACGTATTTCCATATGTGTAAGGTAATGACAGACAATTCTCATTTGTTTATGTCGTGTACATCCATGTGAAAAATTTGAATCCTATTTTTTTAATTACTTACATTTGATGTACATTTTACACTTTTGCTATGCCATGTGTATTGAAGCAGAATAAAGTAACATCACATTATCCTATGTTGGACTGTTTAGATTCAGTTGAAGGTTCGGACGCTGCTGGTGAGGATGTTTCAAATTCATGATATTTAAAATGCTTCGTATTGACGAACCACGTTTGTTGGACCAAATGCTTTTGTCAAAACTTACGCAATAAGGAGTGAGCCTTATACAGCACTTCAGTTGTCTCATGGTGTGTCAGCTGGGTGTGGGAAGAAAGTGTTGGGGGCCTTATGCGTTCTCCAGTTAGGTGACATCTACCAGCAAGAGGTACAGACAAACCTAGACTTAAAGTCAGGGCGAACCGGGATTTAGACCCATGGTCATTTACCTAAGGGACGGATCCGTGAAGATCCGGGTTAGAATAGGTCTTCGATCAGCAACCCATGCTTGCCGTAAAAGGCGACTATGCTTGTCGTAAGAGGCGACTAACGGGATAGGGTGGTCAGGCTCGTTGACATGGTAGATGCATGTCATCGTATCCCAATTGTGTGGATCGATGTTCATGATGTGAATCACAGGATTGTCTGGTCCAGACTCGATAAGTTACAGACCGCTGTCATGTAGCTGGAATATTGTTGAGTGCGGCGTTAAACAACAAACAAACACAGACTCGACTATTTACAGCCCGCCGTCATATAGCTGGAATATTACTGAGTGCGGCGTTAGCAACAAACAAACAAGACCTAAGGGACGCTACAGTGGAGAGTGACTTGTGTCGCCTTTGGCGACTGGCCAACCGGTCGTATGACGCAGACGCTTACAAGCTTAACACATCAACAAATATTACTATTGAGTCGAAGGTTCACCAGTGTCAACCTGCTATATATAGTGGGGAGTCACTTTTCTACATGACAAGTTCGTAAACATTGGTTGTTGTTTTTTTCCTATCACAATACACGCTATATGTTAGGCACGATAACCTTGAACAAGATGGTGTCGCATACGACCCTTTCCTGAATACTGAAATCACTTCTAAAGATAAAGAATGGGCTTACCCAGATAGTCGCATTGTTGGCAAGGAGCAATCCTAGATAAGGTGAATAAAAACTAGACTCTACAACCACAACCACCCGCACATAAACACAAACACATATCCACGTGTTTATTTCCGCTCACTTCTTATCGTGCTGGGGCGGGCACGGACGGCCCAGTCGTCTAAGGCGCCGTGATTCGCTGTGCAGAGTTGCGTCCCTTGGGCACGCCAGAAACCTATGATTGTGGGTTCGAATCCCGGTTCGCCCCGATTATGTTTCTAGGTTTGTCTGCACCATACCCGTGCTCGTGGTTTTCATCGAAGTGGTAAACGTCTAAGACCTGCAGCATCACTTCGGGCTTTCCTCCCACATTAAGCTGACACGCCGCGATATAACTGTAATACTGTTAAAAGCGGCGTTAAACCCAACTCACTCACTCACTCTTATTCTCGATCAATAATGATAACCATGCGTACAATTGAAATAACTGGCAAAATACGAATATTTAATATACTAACATAACTAATTGTCATGACTCTGTGAAAGACTTAATTCTGATTTATCAAGCATGCATGTGTGGCAATACATTTTGGGCAGAAAACGCGATAGAAAATGACTGAGAGGATGCTATTTCCTTTAAGTTTTCCACAGAGCGTGAATTTTGTCAGTTTCCTATATCCCACTGTGGCGTCAAATATTTCTTTAATGATGCCTATTTAATGTTTGCTTACGATATGGCTCTGCTTTACAGTTACAATGCCCACAGTATAACGTGTTATGAAAAATGTTTGAGTTAAGACATTAACATACTTCCTGTAAGGGTATTTCCTTATTAGAGATTCACAACCCACTCAACTCACGCCGCTTCATTTGATATATCCGCTACCACCACATGTAACTTTGGGCGACCACGCTTGTTGTAAGAGGCGACTAACGGGATCGGGTGGTCAGGCTCGCTGACTTTGTTGATACATGTCATCGATCTTAATTGCGTGGATCGATACCCATGATGTCAATCACTGGATTGTCCGATTATTTTACAGATCGCCGTCATATAGCAGGAATATTGCTGAGAGCGGCGTTAAACAACAAACTATACTATATACTATAACTATACATGTAACTTTGGCTGAAGGGGTCGTTGTCGGAACAGAAATGTACCCTAGCAAAAATAAAAATACAGAAACGTACCTGGTACCCTTAACGGCGGAAGAGTCCATATTCCCCAACCCGAAACCGAAACCGGTTCATGTTGTAGTTCCGGTTCGCCTGACTACGAGTGCACGCGTGCATCGCGGGATATCAGATTAATGTACGTACATCGCTATGTATGATCGTTTCCAATATGAGACGCTGGAATACAGCTTAAGATGATAATTCAAAAGTTCCCCCTGACAAACGCGCACTGCCATGACGAATTTAACCGCAGTTTGGCACACAGGAAGTGACGAAAAAGTAAAGAACCGGCTACGCGCATTGCGCCCTGCGGCCCTGCAACAGAATAGACTCATCCTAGGGTACGTTTCTGTATTTTGATTTTTGCTAGGGTACATTTCTGTAGTACATGTGCCGACAACGACCCCTTCAGCGTATCTTTAATTTGTTATAAACTACAGGACAAAAGAAAGTAAACATCGGAAAACTGGGTTTTGACCAAAAATGACAAATGTTATCAAAAAGCTACCTGGTTGAACACTGTCGCCGAAATATTATGAACATAATGTCCAAACACAATCAGGTACCCGTATCAAATAAATCACATCGAACAACCATATCTTGTTTGTTTTATTTTGGCTACCATCAAACATGGATATATGCTTACGGCAGTTTAGTAAAATGGAGGTAAGCATACATCGCTGAATTTAAATTTGAAACCGACGCATTTCAATTTTTCGTTGTTAAATATGTAGGTAACTATATCTACATTGAAAACAGTAGGCCTATCGCACATTTCACTCATCCCCAAAGGCGAATTTGACTATAGCCTGTTGTACATCAACTGGAACAAGGGGTATTTATCGTGCTAGGCTGCCGTGCTTTATACACAAAAACAATGTTTGAGATACATTCTCAATATAGTTGGATACCATTCTAATTATGAGGGGAGAGATGACAATAGGCGTTTAAATCTTCAAGCTTATTAGAAAGTTCAATAATGTAACAAACCGTCCTAGTTTGCAGCTGGTTACATTTATATTCGTCAAGTTCTAGTTTCAATTCAATCTGTACCCGTGACGATTCGGGGTAGAATAGGTCTTCAGCAACCCATGCTTGCCGTAAAAGGCGTCCCTGCTTGTCGAAAGAGGCGATTAACGGGATCGGGTGGTCAGGTTCGCTGACTTGGTTGACGTATGTCATCGTATCCCAATTACGAATATCGTTGGTCATGATGTCAATCACTGGATTGTGTGGTCCAGACTTGATTACTTACAGACCGCCGTCATACAGCTGGAATATTGCTGACTGCGGCGTTAGATTACAAACAAACAAACAAACACTTCACTCTGATATTTCACTCCACAGGTGCAGTACGGGTTCTGGTGAATAGCCAATGTACAGCTTTCCACCTTACAAAAAAAAGTGTGTATCAATAGAAGTCCTTGGTTCAAAGATGAAGGATGTGCGTTGATGTCCGCACGTTTTCAATGGAAAGTACTGATGGTAAACACATGTCCCCGACATGTGGCCAACACATCTTCGACCACAGATTGTTCCTGTCGGTTTTAGTGTGAGTGCTGTGTTAGTTCCTGTCGAATGCGATCCAGACTGAGGATGATGACTTGTCACAGGGTGGTCACGTACATAGGATCTGCAACCAAACACCATGGACTCACTTTAACAACAAGAAATCAGTAATACTATCCTAGTATACACATATTTAGTAGAATATGGGTACCCGGTAGGGTTAGATAGTAATGTGACTTTCAGCACCTCACATGTAGCTTGGGTTGTTTCATCACCATCATCATCATCATCATCATCACTATATTATTATCAGACTGTTTTAAACGGGATAGAATAGGTCTTCAGAAACCATGCTTGCCATAAAAGGCGACTATGTTTGTCGTAAGAGGCGACTAACGGGTTCGGGTGGTCAGGCTCGCTGACTTGGTTGATGCATGTCATCGATCCCAATTTCGTGGATGGGTGCTCATGATATCAATCACTGGATTGACTCGATTATTTACAGACCGCCGTCATATAGCTGCAATATTGTGGAATGCGGCGTTAAACAACACACCTACCAACCATTGTTGCACAGTGAACAAAACTGAAGTCAAAGCATTTTGTTACGTTTGAGTGAGTGTTAAAACACTTACATGTACGTGTGACACTATCATTATTCAGGTCAGCTGTGTGGCAACACAGGTCTGTGTCTGAAGCCTCTATTGCTGGCGGTGGTTTCAGTTCGAGTTGCTCATATTCGTTTTCCATGTCTGTGAGTATTAAATTAAACATATTTAGTCATTCTACTGTGGGTATTAAATAAACTTATCAAGTCCATCGTCCGTGGATATTAAAATGGACATATTTAGTCCCTCTTCGGTTGGTATTACAAAAACATTTCACGTCCATCTACAGTAGATATTGAAAGATACATATGAAGTCCATCTTCTGTGGGAATTTAAAAAAAACATATTTGGTCCGTTTCCTGTTGGTATTTAAAAAAACATATTACATCCTCTTCTGTTGGTATTAAATCCATATTGTGGCTATTAAAATATACATATTAAGAACATCTTCCTATGGCATTAAAATCACATATGAAATCCATCTACTGGGGGTATTAAAACAAACACAGTAACTCCACGGTGACAAAAAGTCGTCTGGGCCAGTATAAAATACATTTTCAATCTGATCAGATTTTCTTTCTGAATCCATGACGCAATACCTGATTAATTACCCAGGTGAAAGGTGTGCCATACCAAAGTACTCCCATAACAAACAAGCACAGCGCTTTTTGACTTGAGGATCAGTTTAAAGTCATCTGTCTTACCTACGAATGTCAAAAATATCTAGCACCAGCATACCTCTAAACACTTAATATCTTAATCCATACAAGCCACAAAGATAACTTCGGTCAGAAGACTTACAATAATTGTCTGAAGTCTTTGATAGGCATTTAGAAATTGGGAGAACATTCATATATAACACTTTTTAGGGATAGCAACTGTCGATACAAAACTCCATGGAGACACTTCACGCCCCATAGTCAACAGAATAAAATAATCTGTTGTAAAGTCGGACATGTCATCTGCCCGTTCGGAACATCTTAAAAATCGTGAACACAATATTTCCTGGCCACAAACTAAGACACTCCATACCAACATCAATCATTGGTAAAAAATGAAACTTTAAGGAAGTCCCGAAATTAAAAAAAGCCAACCATTAACAGAAAGCAAGATATCTTCCTACCCAGTGTGTACCCAACTGTGCTATAATGACATCATCTACCACAATGGGGACCTGGATCACCTTGTTGCCTGTGTCACAATAGCAAGATCCTTGTCACCACGACACCTTCAGTGTACGAACGAATTCGAAGAAGTTGCTATCCATAAAAAAGTGTCATGTATTCCATGACTGTCTGTTTCTCAATACAAACTCAAAGGTTATGGATACAGATCTTTTAGCACAACCGTCCCTCATCTGTCGAATACACTTCGTATGCAAATGTGACATTTAAATCTTATTTCAAAACACATGAAGCATATAACTTCCATGGGGCAGATACGTCGTCGTCGTCGTCATCCTTCTTCTTTTTATTATTATTATTATTATTATTATTATTATTATTCAAGAATGCACTATACTGAAAGCTCTATACGATCTTAGCGCCAAGACTTGTGTAAGCCTATGTTAAAATATGGGAGTTAAGATCATCTTAGCGCTAAGATCGCTTTGTGCAAGTGGGCCCTTGACTTCCACCGCCATGTATGTTTTGCCGCTTTAGCGCTTAGATTAGTTTTCGACGACAAATATGTTTCTAACTAGATCTGTGCACCGATACATTATCATTATGCGACAGCATCGCAAAAAAAATCATAAAAACTGCTTTAGTATTTTATCTTGGCATGGATTTTACCATCCCCAAAATTACTCCATTGAGTCCAATGAATCATAAACATGAGTCATCGTTCGCTAACACAGAATCATCCCAAACTCTCACAAACAAATCGTAGTTATCAGACTAAATATGCTCGTTGCATACGTATTTTGTAAATTATAATATTCATAGATTAGTTATACTAAAGCGGAAGTGATCCTAAGATCCTTATTGCATAGGTTTGCTCGCGCATAAGGAAACATCAAGTGACTCAATTAAATATGTGTCGGGTGTAATGCACGTGTACAAGGTATATTTTAATAAGTCCGATTAATTCGAGATTATAGAGTTCAGATAACAATTTAATAAGGTTTCAGTTAGTATTGATGAAGAACACAAAATGAAAATGTTGAACATATTCACAACAACATCATCGCAATCGTACCTTTAGTTGTAGAACTCTGGTAATCTACTTGTGTCTTTACGTCTATGTATTCATTTTGACGCAATGGTTCTGCAGTGGACGTGTTGGTACCTTCACCTAGGATAGAAAAAGTATCATATAAGAAACAAATAATCATGGTCTTAAAGCAAACAATTACTTCAAACTGTGATATATTTTTTGTATTCATTAACAGAAAAGACTCATGCAAAATAAGAAATGTTGTGTGTGCTTTATTATGCATGATTATTGTTGTTTAGTACTTATATGAATAAGAATATGGTTGTCTTACTCTGTTCCAGTGGTCGAGAATGCATCTGTGTGTCCCTTGATAAATAGAAAATAGATGAAATAATGCTTTGTCAAGAGATACGCTTCTGTTCCGTGAAGGTGCAGGTGTATATGCTTTGGGCGAAAAGAACTGAAATGAATCTGAACTATATCAAGAATGGCAAAAGTATTCCTCGAAGATATTATAGCAACACGGGACAGCCTTGAATTAGTATAAAATGGAGTGTTTAGGATATAGGGGGAAAACGTTATACATTATATCAACAAAAGGAAGCCTGGCATTATGAGGTGAGGTGAAATGGGGTTTAACATCGCGTCCAAGATTATTGCACGTATATAGCCACGTCCATGCACGTTGCTGTGCCATGGTGTACTAGTCCGGACTGATGCCGATTTATAGTGCTAGTTCACTGAGATACCATGCCGCAGATTAACATGACTACCCCACTCAGACACAGTACACTGAATCCGAGCCGACCAGTCCTTGTTTTAGCCCCTTAATGCCGAGCGCCAGACAGGGTAAAAACAAGTACCATCTTTAAAGTCTTTTTGTATGACGCGGCCGGGGACGAACCCCGGACCTCTCCTGTGGACGCTCTACTACAAGACCACGGAGACGGTCCCCGACATTATGAAAAGGCGTATTTGGGGTATAGGGGACTGGAGTAACAGTCTTCGGAATATGATTTAGGTATTTTCTACGAAGAGGGATGATGAAGTATGTGATTTCCTTGGAAACTTGAACAAGATGAACTTGTTAAATGTGGTAGATTCTAAATGAGGAGGTCGTACAGCAAACTGGGACTTTGCTGCTTTTCTTGCTTGAGTGACAGAAAAAGTGTCTGCTGGGAGAATGACGAAACATTGATTTTGTATTATGGTTAATGTCGAAAAAAGGTTTATAGAATACTGGATGTATTATGTCTGAAATGTACTTACATTTGTATCTTGCCAGTTTGCTTTTTATCTGAAAGGTAAACTTATTATCAATCCATTGTATCTAATAACAGCAACGAGTGGTCAATACATTGAGTCATGACTAGTCTGTGCTGCAAGTGAGTCCTGACCTATACCGTGGAATGATTTACACCAACATGGAGTGTATCCACACTCAGCTATACAAATCCACAATGGCACTGACTACAAAATTAAAGTATTTACATACTCGTTTACTGAGTTATGTTTAAATACTGTTACTTATTTTACTGTTATATCATCATCGTCATCATCATCATTATTATTATTATTTACACATTAAAATTGAAAATGAAGCAAAGAGGGTTTTGGTGATCCTGGCACAGTCAGGATGGTTCGGCTCATCATCATCATCATCATCTCCCAGGAAGCGCTGCCTAGTCGAACCCACCCATAATTTTTCAGAGAATGTGAAGACTCCTGCATTACCCAGATTTTAAGAAGGGCTGTATTCCTGGTAGCAAACCCAGGTAGTCTACCAATGTCAGTCAACAGATTGGGGGGTACCAAACCTAAGGCACCGAGAACAATGGGGAGTCGGACAACTTTGAAATTGGGATGCAAGCGTGACATTTCGAAAGCGAGGTCCGCTTATTTGCCATATTTTTCCTCAATCTTGTCAATCACATTAGTGTCAAAGGGGATAGAAAATTCAATGATATAAATGATTTCATTGATTTATCAAAAAGGACAAGATCAGGTTTGTTGGCCTGTTATTATTATTATACCCTTCTCACACCTTGTGTTTGTCTGCGTAGGAAAGTTTTGATGACAATAATTGCGATGACAATAACACAAGCTCCAAGTGCTGTTCCAAGGCCAATTATTTTTTCATGATTCCCAGATGCTGAGGACATAAAAGATAGCAATATAGAAAATAACACTAAGCAGGTTGAATTTAATACGTGAATTGAACCAAACGATAGACAGGATTATAATTCTAGAATCGGTTATTCCTAAAACTATACACTACACCAGACTAAATGCCACAGAAACAGTTCGCTAATTCAACACACAAAATGTATCCTTATGAATGATCTCAATCTCTGACAAAGATACCTTGTAACTGCTCACATGCAAAAGTGTTGTGTACAAAACAAATTATGCTTTAGCTACAGATGAGAACATCGCTGTAAATGCATATTCGACATATGTTTCTTGCATTAAGCAATAGTACTCACAGAACGTTCTTGAAGTAAGTATGACTGTTTCCCCATCACCATAGATATTGGTGCCGTGCAACTTGAACTGATATCCCTGGGTCGGCGTCAACACAGGGATGTCTTCTCTGACTTGAATGTTTCTTCCTGGATCTCTTATGCCATCGTTCCATGTTGTCCAGTGCAAGTGCAGGTCTGATTTGTACATGAGAATAAATGTCTGGTTTGCACCTCCGTTGTAGCTTGAGATCCACTGCAGTAATACGGCTGTATCAGTTACAGCAACCACCTGGAAGTCTGTAGGTGCCAAGGGCGGTGCTAGAATAAAATGTTAGAGTATTTGATTTAACGCCTTTTGTCACAAGAAATGCAGTTAAGCCTCAGTTTGATGTTGGAGGAAAGCCCGAAAGGCTTTCGACGTTTACCACTTTGGTGAAACCCACGACCACGGGTATGGGGCTGACACACAAAAAAAACTAATCAGCACTAATCTGGGATGCGAATCCATTATGAAAGGTTTCTTGCGCGCCAAAGGGACGCCATTCTGTACAGCCAATTGGTTAGCCTTGGGTGATTTGGTCACACTTTCTACATGGTTGGTTGGTTTGTTGTTTAACGCTGCACTCAGCAATATTCCAGCTATATGACGGCGGTCTGTAAATAATCGAATCTGGAGCAAACAATCCAGTGATTGATATCATGAGCATCGATCTACACAATTGGGATACGATGACATGCATCAATCAAGTCAGCGAGCCTGACCACCCGATCCCGTTAGTCGCCTCTTACGACAAGCATAGTCGCCTTTTACGGCAAGCATGGGTTACTAAAGACCTATTCTCCCCGGATCTTCACAGGTCAGTAGTAGTAGTAGTAGTAGTAGTAGTAGTAGTAGTAGTAGTCAGTAGTAGTAGTAGTAGTAGTAGTCAGTAATAGTAGTAGTAGTAATTGTTGTAGTTGTAGTAGAATAGTTAGATAAGTATCCTACCTTCCTCAAACCCAACCTCATTACTTATATGTTGATTTTAATGCGTTGGCTACAAATATAAAACAAATCCGGCACTGCATAATCAATTACAACCTCACATCACACATAATGTTTACCTCGTAACCCAAATATGCCTCGAGACAACTTCTACGACAGTTATTTTTAAATGGTAATATAATAACCCATACATATGAATATGACATAGGATCATGGCCATAGTATTGATCTATTTCACACCCGATATGACGGGAATGTACACAGGACACATTAAAGGAAGTATGCATGTGTAAAACATGAAGATTGTAACGTTTCAGAGTTTTCTTGCCTAAGCTTGAGTCGAACACACGTTTGTTTTTAGGGTCCAAGTGAATGAGTGCTGCATCGAGGTGCTGGGGGAAGACCTTCAGTATACTCACAGTGTACATCCACCCTGACACGGACAGAGGCAGACCCCACGGGGTTTGTGGCAGTGCAGGTGTATTCTCCTGCCTCGTGTCTTGTGATGCTTGGCCTGCTCAGTCTAACTCGGGTGCTGACTGTAGAGCCGTCATGGGTCCATTTGTATGTTGTGCTTGAAGGGTTGCCTTGTATGATGTAACGCCTACAGTATATGCTCAGACGGGATGATTCCCTCACTGGGTATGTGGACGGTAGGTCCGATATTGAAGGAGCATCTGTGCGGGAGAAGGGGCACGTTGACATGCTATTATAGGTAATGGTATGTGGTGAGGATCATTGTCAGGAAAAGAAAATCAACATCAATACTTAATTTTAAACAAATCTCTGAATTTACGGAACTAACACACAATGTTTCCTTAATACTGTGATAGTATCATTACATTTACAGTATTAACACAAGATGTTTCGTAAATAGTGTAATATTATTATTACATTTAAAATATTAATACAGGATGTTTCCTAAACAGTGAGATATCATCATTATATTTACGGTATTAACACAAGATGTTTCCTAAATTGATCTATATTATCCATTAATTTACGGTATTAACACAAGATGTTTCGAAAATAGTGTGATATTATTATTACATTTACGATATTAATACAGGATGCTTCCTAAATAGTGAGATATTATCATTACATTTACGGTATTAACACAATATATGTCCTCAATAGTGTGTTATTATCAATACATTTACGGTATGAACACAAGATGTTTCCTAAATTGATCAATATTATCAATACATTTACGGTATGAACACAAGATGTTTCCTAAATTGATCTATATTATCAATACATTTACGGTATTAACACAAGATGTGTCCTAAATGGTGTGATATTATTATTACATTTACGATATTAATACAGGATGCTTCCTAAATAGTGAGATATTATCATTACATTTACGGTATTAACACATTATTTTTCCTCAATAGTGAGATATTATCAATACATTTACGGTATTAACACAAGATGTTTCCTAAACAGTGTGATATTATCAATACATTTACGGTATTAACACAAGATGTTTCCTAAATGGTGTGATATTATCATTACATTTACGGTATTAACACAAGATGTTTCGTAAATAGTGTGATATTATTATTACATTTACTATGTAAATACTAGATGTTTCCTAAATTGATCTATCTTATCAATACATTTAAGGTATTAACACAAGATGTTTCCTAAATGGTGTGATATTATTATTACATTTACGATATTAATACAGGATGCTTCCTCAATAGTGTGATATTATCAATACATTTACGGTATTAACACAAGATATTTCCTAAATAGTGTGATATTATCAGTACATTGACGGTATTAACACAATATGTTTCCTAAATAGTGTGATCTTACTTTAGACATAATGTTCATTCAAAGATATTATTTGTTACTGGTGATGCCACATGATTTACCTGCACTAGAAGCTATCATAAAACAATACTGTTGGAAGAACTTTGAATGACTGTTGCCCTTACAGTGGACATCAATGCTGATAGAGCTGGATACTGATCCCACTGCGTTGCTGGCAGTGCAGGTATACTGTCCCCCCTCGTTCCGGCTGATGTTTCCTCTGTCTAGTGCCGACTCGCTGGTAAAGGTAGACCCCCTCGTCGTCCATTTGTAGGTGGTCAATGTAGGGTTGCCTACTACTGTGTAGTCGCTACAGTCTATCTCCAGACGGGAGTATTCAGTCGTTGAGAAGATAGTCGGAAACCCGGATATCAGAGGAGCATCTGTGCATGGTAACAAACAGTCATAGTATACACTTATATATTAGAAAGGTTGGTTGGTTGGTTGGTTGGTTTGTTGTTTAACGCCGCACTCAGCAATATTCCAGCTATATGACGGCGGTCTGTAAATAATCGAGTCTGGACCAGACAATCCAGTGATTGATATCATGAGCATCGATCCACGCAATTGGGATCGATGACATGCATCAACCAAGTCAGCGAGCCTGACCACCCAATCCCGTTAGTCGGACAACAGGCATTGTAACAAACAATCATAGTATACAGCTATGCATGGGTGTACACATGCGTGTGTGTTTGCGTGCGTGGGTGTGTGTACGCGTCCGTGTAATGTGTTTGTACGTGCATGTGTGTGTTCCATTATATGAACATGCGTGTGCGTGCGCGTATGTGTGTTCGTGTGTGCGTGTTTGTGTGTTCGTGAGTGCGTGTGTCGGTATACGTGTACGGGTGTCTCTTATGGGTAAATACAAGTCACAAGCATAAATTCATTCATACAACACGTCATGGCAGAACTGATGAGAGAAAAAAGTAATAATCAGTTTCAGAAGCAAATATGGTGAATCAGTACAACGTTATCACCCAAGTGTACTGGTATTCAATTTCCTACATGGCAATATTTTGTTAGATCTCCACTAACTGCATAAATGGATATTTATGGTGGTATATTGTTCCTAAAAATACATTAGTCAGTCGACAAAAGTACAACAGTTACAATCTTAAGCAGGATTTCATTTCTAAACAAGGATGTGTACTTGCCGGAAGTGTTCTGGTGAAGTAATACTATGTGTGAACTTGAATGCCTCCGAATAAAAGTATTCTGGTAAAAGGTAGCATCACATTACATGTAACTCACACTGGACATCCACAGTAACTGTGGCAGACACAGAGCCCACTGTATTGCTGACAGTGCATGTGTACTCTCCCCCCTGCCTCCTGGTGATGTGCCTTCTCTGCAGCACTGACTCAGTGTTGACAGTAGCCGCACCGTGCGTCCACTTGTAGGTAGGAGTTGAAGAGTTGTCGTACTTGGTGTAAGTGCTACAGTCTATCATGAGACTGGAAGACTCGTTCATGTGTATGATGGCTGGGAGGCCAGTTACTGAAGGGGCATCCGCTACTGCAAATGTAAGCATGACGTGTATGCATGCAGTTAGGATGGGTCGATACTGACTTTGGCTATGTACATTTATATGGCAGTAGATGAGACACGATAAGGTAGGGTAATGCTTTATTAACCACGGAGAGGGGGCATTTGGTTTACAACGTCCGAGATATCAGTTAAACAACAATATACAACAACAAAACACTACACGGTATTACAGCAGTTACGAGAACAGACCTACACACACGCAATCACGCAATCACGCACTCTCCCATACGCACAAATTATTCATAAAATATTTGTTTTTATTATGTATCATTATATATATATATAAAATAATAATACATAATATAAAAAAATATTTGATGAATACATATATATATAGAGAGAGAGAGACAGACAGACAGACAGACAGACAGACAGACAGACAGACAGACTGACAGACAGATAGATAAATATCATTTCTCTATTAAGTAAACATTATTGATTGAGCCTATTCAAAACAATACGTAATTGTGAGGTGATGGGCATCTCATAATATAAAATAACGAGTACGTACCCTATATATGGTCCTTCCAACCTGACGTGGAAAAAGGTTCCTTCAAACCGTACATATACTTACTCTGCTTCCATACAGCTTTAAATCCCCTGCCGCTCCCAGATGTATCAGTAGTAAACACAACACGTAAGAATGTCGCAGGCTGGACAACGTATCCAGCGTTGTCACCAGACAGTGATGCCAGGAGGTCCTTGCTTGCACTGTACACCTTCAAGTTTGAGATTGACAGAGAATATTGCACTCATTCTCGTCAGATACTATTTTTACGAAAAAGTGGACTTTCTACAGAATCGGACAGAGCGAAAGCATGGTCAAATACCAATGAAACTTCACGAGTTTCGTAAAAATGGTATCTAACGAGAATGAGTGTGGTATTTCATCTTTTACCCAACTACATATATATTTAAGTGTAAATACATCACAACTTTCGTTCGTTTACAGACCAATAGAATGCAAACCGAATTTGATGCGTTTGACTATATTGTTTGGTTTGATAAAGTGTATGTAAATATCTCTCGTCTCATGAGATTGCTTCAGTTCTGCCTCGTAATGAATGACGTTTCGCGATTACAACGAAATCAACCTTGAACGCCACAAGGACGTACGGATTTAGTATCTTACCACCTGTATATTCATCCCACGTCGGTAATAAAAGACCAAATGACCTGCAGGTATTTCAAGGGTACAGACATACTTCCTCAAGTGATGTCAGAAGGCCCTTGCTGTCACTGTACACCTTCAAGAAACGATGAGGTAAACGACTAAATGACCTGCAGGTGTGTACAAGGGTACAGACATACTTCCTCCAGTGATGCCAGAAGGCCCTTGCTGTCACTGTACACCTTCAAGAAACGATGGGGTAAACGACTACATGACCTGCAGGTGTGTACAAGGGTACAATATATACCTATGTACAAGACATAGTGTCAACAATAACAAAATTCACGATTACATGAATCCGTTTTTGTGAGGCTTAGAACTTATCAGTTGACACTCGTATTCTACTCATATTCTATTCTGATGGTATTTCGTAAGCTTTCCTATCACCTGCTAACACTTCGTGATATGATATGTTCGGAGAGGCTCTCTTGCTCACACACCTAATTCTCTCACTCAAGTATTGTTCTATGTGATGCGTACGTCAAATACGGTTACGCTGGAAGATAGATAACTTTCCTTCGCTGTCTGTGATACATTCGTATCTGGTCAATTGTTATTTTAGTTATCTGTGTGTCATTGTAAGTTACAAATAAATCATGGAAATAGGAAAGTCTGTGAAAAGTTCTGATGCTTATATTATCATTATAGATTGAACAAGACAAAACCATTTCCATACTCATAAGAAATCCCTGTGAAAAGCAGTCCATTGTACGATTCCGACTATATCATAAGCATTATAATCAAACAGTGATGAAACCACCCAATCACAATCAATCAGTGATGAAACCATCCAATCAGAATCAAATAGTGATGAAACCATCCAATCACAATTAAACAGCGATGAAACCATCCAATCACAATCAAACAGTGATGAAGCCATCCAATCACAACCAAACAATGATAAAACCTTTCAATCACAATCAAACAGAGATGAAACCAGGGTGTCGCAAAAGGGTGAGCGTATTAAGCCAAAAACACCCGCCACAAACACACGCAACGGCAGGTCAACCGCAAACCCGATTAAACACGAGGAGACACGACACAAACCAAAACTGGGAACCACATCAGACACCAATTCTGTCACCAATGCCAAATCGGGAATATCCCCCACACATCCCCCATATGAACGCCACCATGATCTCGAATGACTCAAACTGTGTCACTCATATAGAAAAGAAAAATCCAATTACCTTCACAAAGTCATGTCCACTCTCTGTGCTGAAGTCTTGGAAAGACAGGATGACAAATGCAGAACCGATGTCAACAGTGTACGTGCAACTTATATCCTGTCCGTAATTGCTGGGATAGTGGGGAGAGGTGAAGGAACCAGACGTGCTTGTGTATCTGCCTCCACATGCTGAAGAGAAGAACATATTGAGGTGATATCAAACTGTTTTATGTAGGTTTAGGTGATTAAAATGAGGCTTAGCGTCCCGTCGTGTCTCGTGTGTGTACGTTTACTCGTCCAGACTGATGCCGGTATCATACATCTTCCGGAGGTAAGGGAGTTAACGGACTATAAAAGTCCAGTGTCCACGTGGAAACTGGCCTTTTACAGTCAGTTAACGCCCTTGCCTCGGGTATGATGATTTTGTTGTGCTTACCCTCTGAATTATCATGCCGCAGTCTATAATGGGTGCCGCACTTAAAAATAGTATACTGACATCGAGCTGAAGAGTCTTTGTTTTTCCCTCTTAATGAAACACAGCAACAAGTACCATCTTTGAACGTAGTTTGGTTTGACGCGACTGGAGTATCGAAGATCAAAAACATATGATATTTTGTAGGACATTAAATGGTTCATTGCTCAACATATTGAATACATTGAATTTACACATAGGAATATTTCAAAACAAACAGCGCATATGGCATCTCTTAATGTTTATTTCGAAAATGCCACACTGGTCTTCGTTTCCTTGCTTGTTATTAATCACTAAAGGAACATATCTTACCTCTATGTCAGAACATTGAAATCTAAATTGGTTCATGTTATCTTGATAAACTACTATGTATTCCGCCTAGGAGGAAAAATAATTCTGAGAGGAAGAATAAATCCCTTATACCCCGCCGCGAAGCAAAAACCTGCTCATTGTTTATGTGCAAATTAACTTTACGGAACACAGCACAAGTTCACCTCAGCTCAACAGAACAACTGTTTTCTATTTTTTATATTATTTTTTACAATGGCAGATAGAAACATGACAGCAAGATAAATAAGTTGTAGCAGTATCATAAACCTAACGCGGGACACACAAAACCACTTATACCCCTCGCGTTACTACTACAGCTTATAATATCTCGTTCACAGAGCAAAAGTGGATTAGATCTATAATTTAAAATGCCATCTATGTTTTATTCTTTTCGTTCAATTAAAAGCAGGAAACACTTCTTATGTAAAGATGACGATATGAGAATGTTTTCATTCTCTTCAAAACGAAATATGTGAACTAAATATATCAGTGCCAGTGATTGTGTAACTGACAAGCGTTACTGATGTTATATAAAGCACACTGTTTCATTATATTTTTAATGTATTTGAAGTTAGTGACAACTTTGTCTGCTGGAATAACATTGCTGTTTTTGCCTGCTTCACCAGATCTATTCCCAGGCTTTCCAGGGCTGTGGGTAGCCTAGGGGTTAAAGCGTTTGTTCATCACGCCGAAGACCCGTTTTCGATTCCCCGAATGGGAACACTGTGTGGAGTCCGTTTCTCGTGCCAACCTACCTGATATTGCTGGAATATTGTTGAAAAAAGCGGCGTAAAAACATATTCAATCACTTACATTGACACACACGCAACTTTGGTTTGGGTGTCTCCTGCCTGTGTTATCATACATCACATCCCTCAGTATAGGGTATTTTCTCTCCTGCTCAGTAATTTATTTCCCTTCCAGCCGGGATACAAAGTATTTTATTAAGATCACATGAACCAATCCGATCTTAAAATTCTGACATGTTATTCATTACATGCCTTAGATATACCTCTTAATGGCAATGCTAAGCTCTAGTTTACCATTCACCGCATTCATGATAGTGATTGTCATGGTTTAATACAAAATTAAAGGTTTGTTCCAGCGTCACAAAAACACCATGATGATGAGACCCGTGACGATCCGAGTTGGAATTGGTCTTCAGCAACCCATGCCTGTCGTAAGAGGCGACTAACTGGATCGGGTGGTTAGACTCTCGGTTTATGTATGTCATCGTATCCCAATTCCATGAACCGATGTTCATTATATCAATCAGTGGATTGTCTGGTCCAGATTCGATTACTGACTGACCGCCGTCATATAGCTGGAATATTGCTGAGTGGACGTTAAACACTAACAATGATGACTTTAATGTCTCACCTTCAGTACCGTGGGGAATGCCGATCAGAGCACACAACACAACATTGACAGATAGGATCCATGTCCAAGCAGACCCCATCTTGTTGTCCATGTATAAATTGCACCTCAAGAAGTATTGTTGTTGATCATTACGGACGTCGTGTTGGACAATGACATGTATCTGTACCAGAGTACTCCAAAGTCAAGTGTTCGCTAAGTGGCTATTCAGGCCAAGCTTGTGAGGTCATTCACGGAATGTTTGTCTCAGTCAGAGATGTACCCAAACTTTCATGGCTGTAATTCATTATTAATTTTGTGTTGAAATACTGCACAACTGTGTCCATACATTCACTTCAACTCAACGTATGTTTATTGATATTTATTTATACATATAATATCCGGGTTGGACAATGTCAGACTTATGATGAGCAACGGGCGTTGTGTCCGGAAACAGCCTCTTATTGAGGACAGTGTTAGTTTATCGCTTGTGAGTGAATATCGTCAACTTTTATAACTCTTATGAAATTTTCATCATTTTCTTGTATAAACAAACAAGTATTGCTATCTCATTTTCATCAGCACCTTTTTGCTAAGCCGTTTGTAACATGAACCATGCGTTTCAGAGCGGGTGAATTATTCTGTTAAATGCTCCTTTGAAGTATTAACATTTTATCATTGTCTAGACTAAAGTGTAGATTGTAGAAGTGTGTTGCATATTTGCAGATAACGTGTATGATATAAGGCATATATTTTTAATTTGACATAACACTGTTGTTCTTACTCTTGGTTTCTGGGCCGGCAATTCACTAGTAATTCTGAACGTGCATTTTAAACAAGCAGACACTGACGCAGCTATAGGGCTTAATGAAAAATAATAGAGAAATTATTTATTACCCATAACATTGCTTAAGTCAGAGAAATCAAGCGAATTTGTTGATTCCGGATATAGAGTCAACTCGTCCCTTCGTGCTCGTTGATTCTACTTCCGTTATCCACATATTTTTATGATTTCTCCATTACATAAATTAAACTACAGATTGGGGATATATCACCAGCATATTATCGATAATTCGATATTTAATCTTGACATACAAAGTGCATGTAACAGGATACATCGCATATCTGTATCCGAAAAAGGTCTGATCTCTGTGTCAGTGTCTACGGTCCTCATAATGCATGGTCTGATCTCTGTGTCAGTTTATACAGTTCTCAAAATGAATGGTCTGATCTCTGTGTCAGTTCATACAGTTCTCATAACGCATAGTCTGATCTCAATGTCAGTGCCTTCAGTTCTCATAATGTATGGTCTGATGTAATTGTCAGTTTATACAGTTCTCATAATGCATGGTCTAATCTCTGTGTCAGTTTATACAGTTCTCAAAATGAATGGTCTGATCTCTGTGTCAGTTCATACAGTTCTCATAACGCATGGTCTGATCTCAGTGTCAGTGCCTTCAGTTCTCATAATGTATGGTCTGATGTAATTGTCAGTTTATACAGTTCTCATAATGCATGGTCTAATCTCTGTGTCAGTTTATACATTTCTCTTAATGCATGGTGTGATCTCTGTGTCAGTGTCTACAGTGTACATAATGCATGGTCTGATCTCTGTGTCAGTGTATACAGTGTACATAATGCATGGTCTGACCTCTGTGTCAGTTTACAAGTTCTCATAATGCATGCTTTGATCTCAGTGTCAGTGCCTACAGTTCTCATAATGCATGGTCTCATCTCTGTGTCAGTTTATAAGTTATCATAATGCATGGTCTGATCTCAGTTTCAGTGCCTTCAGTTCTCATAATGCATGATCTAGTCTCAGTGTTAGTAAATGCAGTTGCGTAATGCATAGTCTGATCTCTGTGTCAGTGTCTGTAGTGCACATAGTACAAGGTCTGATCTCTGTGTCAGTATCTACAGTGTACATAATGCGTGGTCTGATCTCTGTGTCAGTTTATAACGTTTTCATAATGCATGGTCTGATCTTTGTGTCAGTGTATACAGTTGTCATAATGCATGTTCTGATCTCTGTCAATTTATACAGTTCTCATAATGCATGATCTAATCTTGGTGTCAGTGTATACCGTTCTTATAATGCATCGTCTGATCTCTGTGTCAGTGTACGTATGCAGTGCACATAATGCAAGGTCTTATCTCTGTGTCAGTGTACGTATGCAGTGCACATAATGCAAGGTCTTATCTCTGTGTCAGTGTACGTATGCAGTGCACATAATGCAAGGTCTTATCTCTGTGTCAGTGTATGTAGTGCACATAGTACAAGGTCTGATCTCTGTGTCAGTCTACGTATGCAGTGCACATAATGCAAGGTCTGGTCTCTGTGTCAGTGTATGCAGTGCACATAGTACAAGGTCTGATCTCTGTGTCGGTGTACGTATGCAGTGCACATAATGCAAGGTCTGATCTCTGTGTCAGTGTATGTATGCAGTGCACATAGAACAAGGTCTGATCTCTGTGTCAGTGTACGTATGCAGTGCACATAATGCAAGGTCTGATCTCTGTGTCAGTGTACGTATGCAGTGCACATAAAGCAAGGTCTGATCTCTGTGTCAGTGTACGTATGCAGTGCACATAATGCAAGGTCTGGTCTCTGTGTCAGTGTACGTATGCAGTGCACATAATGCAAGGTCTGGTCTCTGTGTCAGTGTACGTATGCAGTGCACATAATGCAAGGTCTGATCTCTGTGTCAGTGTATGTATGCAGTGCACATAGAACAAGGTCTGATCTCTGTGTCAGTGTACGTATGCAGTGCACATAATGCAAGGTCTGATCTCTGTGTCAGTGTACGTATGCGGTGCACATAAAGCAAGGTCTGATCTCTGTGTCAGTGTACGTATGCACTGCACATAAAGCAAGGTCTGATCTCTGTGTCAGTGTACGTATGCACTGCACATAGTACAAGGTCTGATCTCTGTGTCAGTGTACGTATGCAGTGCACATAGTACAAGGTCTGATCTCTGTGTCAGTGTACGTATGCATTGTACATAGTACAAGGTCTGATCTCTGTGTCAGTGTACGTATGCACTGCACATAGTACAAGGTCTGATCTCTGTGTCAGTGTACGTATGCAGTGCACATAGTACAAGGTCTGATCTCTGTGTCAGTGTACGTATGCATTGTACATAGTACAAGGTCTGATCTCTGTGTCAGTGTACGTATGCACTGCACATAGTACATGGTCTGATCTCTGTGTCAGTGTACGTATGCACTGCACATAGTGCAAGGTCTGATCTCTGTGTCAGTGTATGTATGCAGTGCACATAAAGCAAGGTCTGATCTCTGTGTCAGTGTACGTATGCAGTGCACATAAAGCAAGGTCTGATCTCTGTGTCAGTGTACGTATGCAGTGCACATAATGCAAGGTCTGGTCTCTGTGTCAGTTTATACAGTTGTCATAATGCAAGGTCTGGTCTCTGTGTCAGTGTACGTATGCAGTGCACATAGTACAAGGTCTGATCTCTGTGTCAGTGTACGTATGCAGTGCACATAGTACAAGGTCTGATTTCTGTGTCAGTGTAAGCAGTGCACATAGTACAAGGTCTGGTCTCTGTGTCAGTGTACGTATGCAGTGCACATAACGCAAAGCTGTCTCAGCTGAGGCAAATAGTAACATCTTTTTGCTCAATTCCTGTTTGCAGCATATCCACGGCGCTACATGAACATGCACGTGCAAATTGTGAATCATGACCTTAAAGTCGAGGAAATGCATTCATGAATATGAACTGAAAGAAACTTACATTATTTATTTTCAGAATAAATATTTATTTGAAACTTTATATGAAGCACAGATACCTTATTAATACGTATAAAAGTGAAATATGGTAAGGACTATTGCATGCGGGCATTAACTATTTAATTGTTGAGTTTTAAATTATACTATTTTTGTTATCTTTACAGAAAGAAGGAAAATACAACCTGAACAAATATAGAAGGTTGCATTGTAATGTAGGAAGGTTGATTCTCCTAACAATCCTGTCCATACTAGGGATTTTGTTGTGAAGGAGCGTCGCATGAACCACATAGCAGTGTAGGGCATCCGGTACGTGTCATTGTTATACGTACGATTTCGTCTCACATCTAGCAAAGCGGAAACAGATCTACTGGGACAATGAATACATGCCTTATATCGGTATGACCACATGTCAAAAACAGATGATTGCATCACAGGCTTTGAGCAGACATCCTGTAAGATGTATATGAGGAAACTATGTACTATGGGCGTAACTGATATCTGGGCCATTGTAAATTAGGTGTTAAACATTATGACCCGATCTCCTATCACACTGAAATATTACAACATAGACGAATAGCTCTTGATGCACGTGTTTGCGCGTGGGCTCATATATGTGCGCATGTCAGGGACCCTCCTTTCAAATATGCCAATTTGCTTAGCAAACGCGTGAAAATGCTTCCAAAACAGTGTCCATCTTGACATATTGCAGTGTCAGGTCACATACGTCCATCTTGACATATTGCAGAGTCAAGTCACATGCGTCCATTTTGACGTATTGCAGTGTCAGGTCACATGCGTCCATCTTGACATATTGCAGTGTCAGGTCACATGCTTCCATCTTGACATATTGCAGTGTAAGGTCGCATGCGGCCATCTTGACATATTGCAGTGTCAGGTCACATACGTCCATCATGACATATTGCAGAGTCAGGTCACATGCTTCCAACTTGACATATTGCAGTGTCATGCCACATGCTTCCATCTTGACATATTACAGAGTCAAGTCACATGCTTCCATCTTGACATATTGCAGTGTCAGGTCACATACGTCCATCTTGACATATTGCAGAGTCAAGTCACATACGTCCATCTTGACATATTACAGTGTCATGCCACATACGTCCATCTTGACATATTGCAGAGTCAAGTCACATGCTTCAATCTTGACATATTGCAGAGTCAAGTCACATGCGTCCATCTTGACATATTGCAGTGTCAGGTCACATACGTCCATCTTGACATATTACAGTGTCAGGTCACATACGTCCATCTTGACATATTGCAGAGTCAAGTCACATGCTTCCATCTTGACATATTGCAGAGTCAGGTCACATGTGTCCATCTTGACATATTGCAGAGTCAGGTCACATACGTCCATCTTGACATATTGCAGTGTCAAGTCACATACGTCCATCTTGACACATTGCAGAGTCAAGTCACATGCGTCCATCTTGACATATTGCAGAGTCAAGTCACATGCGTCCATCTTGACATATTGCAGAGTGAAGTCACATACGTCCATCTTGACATATTGCAGAGTCAAGTCACATGCGTCCATGTTGACATACTGCAGAGTCAAGTCACATACGTCCATCTTGACACATTGCAGAATCATGTCACATGCGTCCATCTTGACATATTGCAGTGTCAAGTCACATGCGTCCATCTTGACATATTGCAGAGTCAAGTCACATGCTTCCATCTTACTTGTCAGTGTTAGGTCACATACGTCCATCTTGACATATTACAGTGTCAGGTCACATACGTCAATCTTGACATATTGCAGAGTCAAGTCACATGCGTCCATCTTGACATATTGCAGAGTCAAGTCACATGCGTCCATCTTGACATATTGCAGAGTCAAGTCACATGCGTCCATCTTGACATATTGCAGAGTCAAGTCACATACGTCCATCTTGACATATTGCAGTGTCAGGTCACATGCGTCCATCTTGACATATTACAGTGTCATGCCACATGCGTCCATCTTGACATATTGCAGAGTCAAGTCACATGCGTCCATCTTGACATATTGCAGAGTCAAGTCACATGTGTCCATCTTGACATATTGCAGAGTCAACTCACATACGTCCATCTTGACATATTGCAGTGTCAGGTCACATACGTCCATCTTGACATATTGCAGAGTCAAGTCACATGTGTCCATCTTGACATATTGCAGAGTCAAGTCACATGCGTCCATCTTGACATATTGCAGTGTCAGGTCACATACGTCCATGTTGACATATTGCAGAGTCAAGTCATATGCGTCCATCTTGACATATTGCAGAGTCAAGGCACATGCGTCCATCTTGACATATTGCAGTGTCAAGTCACATGCGTCCATCTTGACATATTGCAGAGTCAAGTCACATGCTTCCATCTTACTTGTCAGTGTTAGGTCACATGCGTCCATCTTGACATATTGCAGAGTCAAGTCACATGCGTCCATCTTGACATATTGCAGAGTCAAGTCACATGCGTCCATCTTGACATATTGCAGAGTCAAGTCACATACGTCCATCTTTACATATTGCAGAGTCAAGTCACATGCGTCCATCTTGACATATTGCAGAGTCAAGTCACATGCGTCCATCTTGACATATTGCAGTGTCAAGTCACATGCGTCCATCTTGACATATTGCAGAGTCAAGTCACATGCGTCCATCTTGACATATTGCAGAAGTAGGCAGCATGCTTCCATTTAACGACAACTCTGACTTCGGTTCTTGATCACGAGTTACAAACTTTCCACAAAAAGTTGAAACTCCACATCACGTGGATATTTAGCGAGGAAAGTATATGTACTCCGTGTGCCGTGGTACATCAATATAATTCAAAGGTAAATGTCTTTATTCAAGTGCCAGTGTTATCGCAATTCAAAATATGATGACGCTACAAAAACAAAGCAGGTTGAGGGCATATAAATAATGCCGTACGAAAGATAGTTAAAAATAGATAGCTACAAAAGTTGCGCAAAGTTGTTGCAACTAAATGTTCACGAATCACTATTGTGCAGTATGTGATGACTATAAACTGTGGTATCCTCTTCATCATGACAAAATATTTGGTTTCAGGTGTTCGGTTTCAGAACGCATTGAACACTATCTCAGTTAAATCACGGCGTGTCTGCATGGTGTACATGTTTGAGGAAAAGTTCAAAGTGCTTCGGGTCATTCCGGATGCTTACCAGCACAGGAATGGTCTGGCAAACCAAGAGACACTATCGGGGTGAATCTCGGATTATAAACCACGATCTAGGATTCTGGCTTGCCTAAGGGACGCAACTCTGCATAACCTATTAGACGCCTTGACAACCCGTGCCCCTTCTTTGAGTAAAGGGGGGGGGGGCACGGGTGGCCCAGTCGTCTAAGGCGCCGCGATTCGCTGTGTAGAGTTGCGTCCCTTGGTCACGCCAGAAACCTATCATTGTGGGTTCGAATCCCGGTTCACTCCGATTATGTTTCTAGGTTTGTCCGCACCATACCCGAGCTCGTGGGTTTCACCGAAGTGTTAAACGTCTGAGACCTGCATCACTTAGGGCTTTCCTCCCACATTAAGCTGACACGCCGTGATATAACTGGAATAATGTTAAAAGCGGCGTTAAACCAAACTCAACTCAACTCAACTTTGAATAAAATATGTACGATCAGAATAGAATTACGTCGAAATGGAATGAAATTCAGTGACATTGTACATGCTATTTCGTGGACGCAACTGGGTATTGAATTCATTAGTTTAAACAGATGAATAATTATTGAATGTTGGAATGGTTATCAGTGATTAACGAGACAGACCTTTGTTGAATATCAGATGTAAATACGCAATACTATGGAATGTAGATATGAGTAACATGGTATAAATGTTTCTATGTGTTACACAATGCTGTAAAATGGTGCATGACACAAAACAATACCAGTTTCAAACAACAAGAACAACATCAATGCTACAACCACAAATCCCTTGTCATTGAAATGCCCACCAAAACAAAGGACGAAGGCAGGGAAAAGTTGGAACAATTATTACAAATAATGTTTGTATTTCAAAAATTCAAGAGCAACAACAGTGCGCAAACTAGGTGGAAGAGCTATTAAGGTGACCTACTACTTAGAAAGTAATTAACGGTAGTCAAACAGAAGCATGTATAAACATTACAAGAAGACGACCGGGACAAAACGACCCATGTCACTGATATACTCTGGCGTGAGTGCATGTTCAATTCTTTTCTGCTTCAGGCGGATCCAGAGATGTGTAGTCCGATTCTGAAGAGGAATAAGGTCGAATATTATGATACAAACATCCAAGATGGCAAGTGTGAAACGGGTTGATAGTTTGAATTATATGAATTGTTGGGCATTTCTTAGAAGTTGACGGATGACAAAATAGACACAATTTATGGATAAAAACTTCTTTATTTCACTGCAATATATGATGTTATCCTTCACAACCATAAAGTCCAGATGTTGGATATTTTCTATCAAAGTGTTTGATTGAAATATTTGGAACAGAAATGATATATACATCATGCATTTGAATAACAGTCGGTTGGTCAAGAAGACAGAATGTTAGTTGAGTCTTACCAGTACTGTACTCAACACGTTCGTCCCTCTCTGTCACCTCGTCCCTGTATGGTAACAACAATAGAACTATGTGATGGTGTTAATAGCATTAAGACTTCGCCTCCAACTAGCTCCAATTCTGTGTTGTGGAGCATGTTGTCTTGAGCTCACTCACGCAATAAGATCTACCAGTGTTATTCTGAGGCTGAAAATGTAACTGAGCACGAAAGAGTATGGATAACCCATATCCTTACTACAATTGCAGCAACATCTTTGCATGCATTTCATATTCTTTTGATATTACAACAAATAGATACACTTATGAAATTAATGAGAGAAAACAATTTCAAAAAGCAATATTGCTTGCAATCATACCTGTTTTTGACATCCCCCTTCTTCTCTGCAATGGAAAAGAAAGAAAGGTTTATACAGTAACCGGAATATGCTACCGCAAGCAGGAAAAGAATGCTAACAAACAAAGGAACCTAATCAATAAGAATCTCGGATTCGACCCCCGATTATAGGTTTCTGATATGCTTAAGGGCCGCTTCTGTGCATAACAAATACTGGCACGATCCGTGCCCCCAGTTGTTTGGAAATATTTGGAATGATGTTTGTATTTTGGGCTCACTGTGAAAATTCCATAAATTTTTTTGATTCTGGTTCCAATTTTACCAGTATAAAACTCCAAAGAATAACCATGGCATCAATAAATTTGATTCTGGTTTCAATGTAACCATTTTAAAACGTCAACTCCAAAACATGATCTCGTCTAAAAGGTAAAGTAGCGGTGAAAACCTTTCAAAGCGTTTCTCTGTCTGATGACGACGATAACCAGGATGACTGTGACAACAAGGGCGACAACTCCAACTGCTATAAGCAAGTACATATACGTGTTGTCATCGCTTGATGATGGTGTGATAGTTGACATAACCACATTGCTTGCATCAGATCCTGTGACCCTTGGAAATACTTGTGTCTCACCTAAAGCGACATTAACATTCAGGAAGTGGTGTTTACTAGGTTTAAGAAAACAATATCATGTAATGAATAGTTTGTGCCTTTCTTGAAAATTGATCTGATAGTAAAATGCAAAATGCATGGAAATCTCTAAATTTGTAGAGTGTCAGAGACACAAACATGTGCCACCTGAAAAGATACGTGTCTGATCTAAAGCGACAATAAATAATTCATTTAACCTTAAAATGGGTTGTTGAAACGCAGTTCATCACAATTAAGTTGGAAGTATCATGGCAAGGCCCGACAGGCTTGAGTTTATATGCACATAATATATGTATCTCGGATCGCTAATACAATATACAATATTTACTTTTTGTCGTATAAATTCACATAGATTTGTTTAAAGATGTATCTACATTATCAGTACAACCTTTCATATGAAAAATAGGTTCATTAAAAGGGAAGTCAGTGATTAAATATACCAAGTTTAACAAACCTCCAATGGTGACAAGAACATCTCCAAATCCAAGTCCTGACTCCATTGCCCCGGTTGTACTTTCCATCCTGTTAATGGATTTACACTTATACCGCCCGGTGGTGGCAGGTCCAACAGCTGTCAGTGTCAGGGTGGGTTGTGTCCCTTGCTGCACAGTTTCCGCTCTTGAGTTTGTCCAGATATAGATGTCGGGGGCAGGGTTGGAGTCGATGCTGCATGTGATGTTGATGTTTCCCCCCTTGACCACCACATATTCTCGAGGACAGGACACAGTTGGTTTATCTGAATACAAACAAGTAAAATCAATGATGAACTGACACTTGCAACCTGTTTGTATTTACCACCGAGTAAAAGTATAAATATACTTTGGAACATAATATTATCCGACTTGTGATAAGAGTCTTCAGAAATAAAAAAACATGTGATTCGTGTCAGCATAAAGAAATAACCGAGTGAATCAATAATTCCGGGAACCGGGATTCGAACCCACAGTCATAGGTTTCTGCAGTGCCCAATGGACGCAACTCTTCACAGCGACGCCTTAGACGACTGGGCCGCCCGTGCCCCCTTGCCTTAATATACAATCATGAAGTTAAATAGTGTCAAACCATACGGATGCAATTTGACCATTACCACCCAGATTTCAAAGAGCTACACTATAAAGGCAACATCAAAAAGCACTGATAGGTATCTGGTGGCACACTGTGCGTTTTCTCAATGCTATTTGCTGATATGTTTCAAAATGGGCTCACCATGTAAGAAAGAAAACGCGTGACAAATATTCGTGGCTTACAGAGGACGTCAATGTGCAGCAGTTCCTGGCCCCAGGCCTCCCTGATTGTCCCATTTGACACAACCATCCTATTGGTGATGTTCACAAGGAATTCGCCACCGTCCAAACGACTGATGTTTCTGTAGTTCCGGTATGCCTCGGTTTGATGCCAAGTCAGCCTCGTTCCGGTCTTACGCCATGTTGTTAGGTACGGGAGAGGGTTTGGCAGGTTAACCAACGTTATGTTCACGGATGAATATTCTACAATCTTGACGTCAGATGTCATGAATGATTTAGGCGGGTCTGCAACAAAAGCAAAGAAAATAGGTGAAGGAAGTTCGTAATGATAAGGAGAATCAGTTGTTATGTTTGTCATTCTGTGGCATGTGTTAGGGTACAAATTTAATTACAGTAGTTACATTTCTGTCACAGTATATACTTAAAACAAGTGGCATGTGTGAGGGTACAAATTAACCAATAGTAGTTACATTTCTGTCGCAGTATATACTTATAACAAGTGGCATCTGTCGGGTTACAAATTAATTAATAGTAGTTACATTTCTGTCGCAGTATATACTTATAACCAGTCGCGTGTGTTAGGGTACATATTAGTCACGAGTAGTTACATTTCCGTATCAGCATATACTTATAACAGGTGGAATGTGTGAGGGTATAAATTAGTCACTAGCAGCTACATTTCTGTCGCAGTATATACTTATAACAGGTGGCATGTTTGAGGGTACAAATTAGTCACTTGTAGTTACATATCTGTCGCAGTATATACTTAAAACAGGTGGAATGTGTGAGGGTATAAATTAGTCACTAGCAGCTACATTTCTGTCGCAGTATATACTTATAACAGGTGGCATGTTTGAGGGTGCAAATTAGTCACTAGCAGCTACATTTCTGTCGCAGTATATACATATAACAAGTCGCATGTTTGAGGGTGCAAATAAGTCACTAGTAGTCACATTTCTGTCGCAGTATATACATATAACAAGTCGCATGTTTGAGGGTGCAAATTAGTCACTAGCAGCTACATTTCTGTCGCAGTATATACTTATAACAGGAGGCATGTTTGAGGGTGCAAATAAGTCACTAGTAGTTACATTTCTGTCGCAGTATATACATATAACAAATCGCATGTTTGAGGGTGCAAATTAGTCACTTGTAGTTACATTTCTGTCGCAGTATATACATATAAACAGCCGCATGTTTGAGGGTACAAATTAGTCACTTGTAGTTACATTTCTGTCGCAGTATATACATATAACAAGTCGAATGTTTGAGGGTGCAAATTAGTCACTAGCAGCTACATTTCTGTCGCAGTATATACATATAAGAAGTCGCATGTTTGAGGGTACAAATAAGTCACTAGTAGTTACATTTCTGTCGCAGTATATACATATAACAAGTCGCATATTTGAGGGTACAAATTAGTCACTTGTAGTTACATTTCTGTCGCAGTATATACTTATAACAGGTGGAATGTTTGAGGGTGCAAATTAGTCACTAGCAGCTACATTTCTGTCGCAGTATATACTTATAACAGGAGGCATGTTTGAGGGTGCAAATTAGTCACTAGTAGTTACATTTCTGTCGCAGTATATACTTATAACAACTCGTATGTTTTAGGGTGCAAATAAGTCACTAGTAGTTACATTTCTGTCGCAGTATATACTTAAAACAGGTGGAATGTTTGAGGGTACAAATTAGTCACTTGTAGTTACATTTCTGTCGCAGTATATACATATAACAAGTCGCATGTTTGAGGGTGCACATTAGTCACTAGCAGCTACACTTCTGTCACAGTATATACATATAACAAGTCGCATGTTTGAGGGTACAAATTAGTCACTTGTAGTTACATTTCTGTCGCAGTATATACATATAACAGGTGGAATGTTTGAGGGTGCAAATTAGTCACTTGTAGTTACATTTCTGTCGCAGTATATACTTATAACAAGTCGCATGTTTGAGGGTGCAAATTAGTCACTAGTAGTTACATTTCTGTCGCAGTATATACATATAACAAGTCGCATATTTGAGGGTGCAAATTAGTCACTAGTAGTTACGCTTCTGTCGCAGTATATACTTATAACAAGTCGCATGTTTGAGGGTGCAAATTAGTCACTTGTAGTTACATTTCTGTCGCAGTATATACATATAACAAGTCGAATGTGTGAGGGTGCAAATTAGTCACTTGTAGTTACATTTCTGTCGCAGTATATACTTATAACAAGTCGCATGTTTCAGGGTGCAAATTAGTCACTAGTAGTTACATTTCTGTCGCAGTATATACTTATAACAAGTCGAATGTGTGAGGGTGCAAATTAATCACTTGTAGTTACATTTCTGTCGCAGTATATACATATAACAAGTCACATGTTTAAGGGTGCAAATTAGTCACTAGTAGTTACATTTCTGTCGCAGTATATACATATAACAAGTCGAATGTGTGAGGGTGCAAATTAGTCACTAGTAGTTACATTTCTGTCGCAGTATATACATATAACAAGTCGAATGTGTGAGGGTGCAAATTAGTCACTAGTAGTTACATTTCTGTCGCAGTATATACATATAACAAGTCGCATGTTTGAGGGTACAAATGAGTCACTAGCAGCTACACTTCTGTCGCAGTATATACATATAACAAGTCGCATGTTTGAGTGTACAAATTAGTCACTAGTTGTTACATTTCTGTCGCAGTATATACATATAACAAGTCGCATGTTTGAGGGTGCAAATTAGTCACTAGTAGTTACATTTCTGTCGCAGTATATACATATAACAAGTCGAATGTGTGAGGGTGCAAATTAGTCACTAGTAGTTACATTTCTGTCGCAGTATATATATATAACAAGTCGCTTGTTTGAGGGTGCAAATTAGTCACTAGTAGTTACATTTCTGTCGCAGTATATACATATAACAAGTCGCATGTTTGAGGGTACAAATTAGTCACTTGTAGTTACATTTCTGTCGCAGTATATACTTATAACAAGTCGCATGTTTGAGGGTACAAATTAGTCACTAGTAGTTACATTTCTGTCGCTGTATATACATATAACAAGTCGAATGTGTGAGGGTGCACATTAGTCACTTGTAGTTACATTTCTGTCGCAGTATATACATATAACAAGTCGCATGTTTGAGGGTGCAAATTAGTCACTAGCAGCTACATTTCTGTCGCAGTATATACATATAACAAGTCGCATGTTTGAGGGTACAAATTAGTCACTTGCAGTTACATTCCTGTCGCAGTATATACATATAACAAGTCGCATGTTTGAGGGTACAAATTAGTCACTAGTAGTTACATTTCTGTCGCAGTATATACTTATAACAGGTGGAATGTTTGAGGGTGCAAATTAGTCACTAGTAGTTTTCATTTCTGTCGCAGTATATACATATAACAAGTCGAATGTGTGAGGGTGCAAATTAGTCACTTGTAGTTACATTTCTGTCGCAGTATATACTTATAACAGGTGGCATGTTTGAGGGTGCAAATTAGTCACTAGTAGTTACATTTCTGTCGAAGTATTTACATATAACAAGTCGAATGTGTGAGGATGCAAATTAATAACTAGTAGCAACAACAATTAGATGTCTTACACAATACATTGACGAATCTTGACACAAATGAATTGTACTTCCAGTGATAGGCTGTGCAGTTTGCTTGTCCTCTGGACGACCTATTATGACTGTAGATAAGTGCACAACAGCTTACAACTTGGCTGAATCCGGTTCGCCGTAAACGACAGAGTGAAAATCTGGGTTGTGGTCCCCTTATAGCGCAACAAACGGCCCTATCTTTCTCAAACATATCAATTGTTTGATGAGGTTGTATCTCAATATTCCAATGTATAATCAAAGCTGGCAAGAAAGGGTAAAGATAGCTGATAAAGGCATATAATACATCATGCCCCTAGTGACAATCAGTCAACAATCCTGGCCTCAACTATCAATGTTTTCACAGATTTCTTTATTGAAACGGGCTGTTAAGACAAAGCTCTCTGTTGTTTACGAATAGGTAATTCAATTATTCAATTCGTTTGCAGAAATTCACGACAATGATATCATTAACGTTGGTCCTTCTGATGATAAGTTCTCAAATGGTATTTCAACTTGAAGTAAAACTAAATATACACAACCTTTTTGTTAGTTTGGGTTAGACAGAACTGTGTATATGAATGGAAGAAAACCCACAATCATACCATTATTTTTACTGAATCAGTCCACAATTGGTTCACATGTATGTTATAGTACTCGAATTAAGGTAAAACTTAATATAAATCACATTTCAAAACTTCATGTAATATGATATGCTAATGTCAAATATGCGGTCAAATGATGCTCACTATTTGTGCACTTGATTGACATAATATGCATTGCATGTCGAGCGCATGTCCTGTCCGGAGCTACTGGGGTCAAACTGCAGTCAAATATTGAGTTCTCAGTACCAACGCAAGAGACATCAAACAGACCGGAATTTACTAAAGGTGGTCCATAAAGCGGAGTGTAGATAGCGTAGGAATAATTTCTGAAGGCCAAAAAAATGTCGGTACATTGCATGTCCTGGTTACAATGTGATGTGAACTGTAATATTTGTGTTGAATTAATATCTGTACATATTTGAGTAAAAACTGCAGCCATTACCTTTTTGTGGCTGGGAACTTTGGGGATGATGATTTGGCCACATTAGGGAGCACATCCAATACACAATTCTGCAATTTTGCTTGGGCGTAGACTACCGATCACCAAATTAGGCAATTGTAGGCAATACGTAAGGAACGCATAAAAACATTAATTAGGACATTAATAAATATCAATGCAAAGTTGCATCATACTGGATACGCTTCAACAAGATTCACAACACTCTAAACGGCAAATGATTAGAAATAAAGTTCGATAAAATACAATTTGAAGTGATCTGAATAATTAATGTTGAATATATATCTTACGAGGGCTGGTTGAGAGATCTACACACAACTGTCGCTGCTTGGTATGCATGTTGGAATGAACAAACTGTTCCCCATGTGCCATTATAATTGACTTCAAGACGACCTTCGCTTGGTCCAGGAACCAGTTTTACATTGTGTGATACTACGTAAGCTGCAAAAGAGGAACATCATTAAACATTTGCACATACGTTAATCTTAACTAGGTTTGGTTGGAGTTGATATCAAAAGATGTGTGCCATGTTTGTGAGATAGAAGTTTCAGGTTATATGGTTCATGCATCACGAGGGGCGGCCGGGTAGCCCAGTGGTTAAAGCGTTCGCGGCGAAGACCCGGGTTCGATTCCCGACATGGGTACAATGTGTGAAGCCCATTTCTGGTGTCCCCCGCCGTGATATTGCCGGAATATTGCTAAATGCGGCGTAACACCATACTCACTCACTCACTCATGCATCATGAAGATCAGAAACAATGTCTGTCGTCTCAGATAATGGTCGAAGTTTCTGATGGTAGTATGGAAATGTTCTGTAGATACATAATCAAAACAGCAAGGTTGGATAATGGAAATCGTTAAATAGAAAAAAAATATCTGTTGGTGATCACTCAACTCTTTGTGGAGTTATAAATAACCTGAATGTCTGAAATACTGTATGATAATATTACGCTCTTTACTCACCAGCACCCACCAGCAGCAACAACGTTGGCATCAACATATTGCCCCACAACAGTTAGCCTACAATAGAACAAAGAAAACCTATGGCTTTCAGAAATTAGTTCTTATTCCCGTCTTCACCAGTGATGATGGGAGAAGGGGAGTGAAGTGATGGTTGGCGTGTCAGCTCAGTGTAGAAGGGGAGTGAAGTGGTGCGTGGCGTGTCAGCTTGATGGGGGAAGGAGAATGAAGTGATGCGTGGCGTGTCAGCTTGATGTGGGAAGGAAAGCAAAGTGATGCGTAGCGTGTCAGCTTGATAGGGGAAGGAGAGTGAAGTGATGCTTGGCGTGTCACCTGGATGTGGGAAGGGGAGTGAAGTGATGCGTGGCGTTTCAGCTTGATTGGGGAAGAGGAGTGAAGTGATGTGTGATGCGTAAGCTTGATGTGGGAAGGGGACTGAAGTGATGCATGATGCGTCAGCTTGATATAGAAGGAGAGTGAAGTGATGCGTGACGTGTCAGCTTGATTGGGGAAGAGGAGTGAAGTGATGTGTGATGCGTAAGCTTGATGTAGAAGGGGAGTGAATGATGCATGATGCGTCAGCTTGATATAGAAGGAGAGTGAAGTGATGCGTGGCGTGTCAGCTTGATATAGAAGGAGAGTGATGTGATGCGTGGCGTGTCAGCTTAATTAGGGAAGAGGAGTGATGTGATTTATTGTGCGTCAGCTTGATATAAAAGGAGAGTGAAGTGATGCGTGGCGTGTCAGCTTGTTTAGGGAAGAGGAGTGATATGACTTATTGTGCGTCAGCTTCATAGGGGAAGGAGAGCAAATGATGCGTGGCGTGTCAGCTTGATGTGGGAAGGGGACTGAAGTGATGCATGATGCGTCAGTTTGATGGGAGAAGGAGAGTGAAGTGATGCGTGACGTGTCAGCTTGATTGGGGAAGAGGAGTGATGTGATTTATTGTGCGTCAGCTTGATATAGAAGGAGAGTGAAGTGATGCGTGGCGTGTCAGCTTGATTAGGGAAGAGGAGTGATGTGATTTATTGTGCGTCAGCTTGATATAGAAGGAGAGTGAAGTGATGCGTGGCGTGTCAGCTTGATTAGGGAAGAGGAGTGTGTGATTTATTGTGCGTCAGCTTGATATAGAAGGAGAGTGAAGTAATGCGTAGCATGTCAGCTTGATATAGAAGGAGAGTGAAGTGATGCGTGGCGTGTCAGCTTGATTAGGAAGAGGAGTGATGTGATGTATTGTGCGTCAGCTTGATAGGGGAAGGAGAGTGAAGTAATGCGTAGCGCGTCAGCTTGATATAGAAGGAGAGTGAAGTGATGCGTGGCGTGTCAGCTTGATTAGGGAAGAGGAGTGATGTGATGTATTGTGCGTCAGCTTGATATAGAAGGAGAGTGAAGTAATGCGTAGCGCGTCAGCTTGATATAGAAGGAGAGTGAAGTGATGCGTGGCGTGTCAGCTTGATTAGGGAAGAGGAGTGATGTGATTTATTGTGCGTCAGCTTGATATAGAAGGAGAGTGAAGTAATGCGTAGCATGTCAGCTTGATATAGAAGGAGAGTGAAGTGATGCGTGGCGTGTCAGCTTGATTAGGGAAGAGGAGTGTGTGATTTATTGTGCGTCAGCTTGATATAGAAGGAGAGTGAAGTAATGCGTAGCATGTCAGCTTGATATAGAAGGAGAGTGAAGTGATGCGTGGCGTGTCAGCTTGATTAGGAAGAGGAGTGATGTGATGTATTGTGCGTCAGCTTGATAGGGGAAGGAGAGTGAAGTAATGCGTAGCGCGTCAGCTTGATATAGAAGGAGAGTGAAGTGATGCGTGGCGTGTCAGCTTGATTAGGGAAGAGGAGTGATGTGATGTATTGTGCGTCAGCTTGATAGGGGAAGGAGAGTGAAGTAATGCGTAGCGCGTCAGCTTGATATAGAAGGAGAGTGAAGTGATGCGTGGCGTGTCAGCTTGATTAGGGAAGAGGAGTGATGTGATTTATTGTGCGTCAGCTTGATATAGAAGGAGAGTGAAGTAATGCGTAGCATGTCAGCTTGATATAGAAGGAGAGTGAAGTGATGCGTGGCGTGTCAGCTTGATTAGGGAAGAGGAGTGTGTGATTTATTGTGCGTCAGCTTGATATAGAAGGAGAGTGAAGTAATGCGTAGCATGTCAGCTTGATATAGAAGGAGAGTGAAGTGATGCGTGGCGTGTCAGCTTGATTAGGAAGAGGAGTGATGTGATGTATTGTGCGTCAGCTTGATAGGGGAAGGAGAGTGAAGTAATGCGTAGCGCGTCAGCTTGATATAGAAGGAGAGTGAAGTGATGCGTGGCGTGTCAGCTTGATTAGGGAAGAGGAGTGATGTGATTTATTGTGCGTCAGCTTGATATAGAAGAAGAGTGAAGTAATGCGTAGCATGTCAGCTTGATATAGAAGGAGAGTGAAGTGATGCGTGGCGTGTCAGCTTGATTAGGGAAGAGGAGTGATGTGATTTATTGTGCGTCAGCTTGATATAGAAGGAGAGTGAAGTAATGCGTAGCGCGTCAGCTTGATATAGAAGGAGAGTGAAGTGATGCATGGCGTGTCAGCTTGATATAGAAGGAGAGTGAAGTGATGCGTGGCATGTCAGCTTGATGGGGGAAGGGGGGTGAAGTGATGCATGGCGTGTCACCTTGATATAGAAGGAGAGTGAAGTGGTGTGTGGCGTGTGAAACAGGACATGTTTTGATGGCTTGTAACTCATTATAACTCAGATCATAATATCTGGACACTAACAGGAGACAAAACTCTTAATATACAATATTTTATAAGAAATTGGTGAACAATTTGTTGGGACTCTTAGTGAAGAATTATTACGTTTTTAAATTGACTGTATACTGTATTGTACCCTTTTTATAGATTGATCGATGACATTATTGAAATCGTTCAAAAATGGTAGAAACAGCCAATTCCTTGTCACTGATTTACCCACCTGAACTAGAGATAAACGACACCAGTGAAACAGCCTGATCTGTTTCATATTTAGATCTATGCATTATTGGGACACTGGGATAGCCTCGTGATCAAAGAGTTCGCTCGTCATGCGATGGCCCGGGTTCGATTCCCCCAAGGAGTACAATGTTTGACACCCTTCACTGTGTTATTGCTGGAATATTGCTAAAAGCAACGTAAAACCCAATCACTCCCTCACAATGCATAAATATTCCTATTGATAAGAGAACTATCGTGAATATCGTGAACATCAATTGCGATGACAACTTAAATATCCCTGGGGGTGCTGTTGAAGCTTACCAAGTATGGCCCAGGAGAAAGGATTAACCTGTTGAATGTCTTTCAGAGTGCTTTAAATCAGTGCTTGGTGAAAAAGAGGAAACAAAATTGGAATGAACCCATTCTGTCCCTGACAGCTGTCATCCAAAGTCTAGCTGGCCTACTTGGAAGGTTTGTATTTGGCCCCACTACCTGTTTGATCAAAGAACGTGGTACAATTCGCAAGTAAAAATAGTGTCATATATACGGCCAGTGTGTTAGCTGATGAAGACAGTTACGTTATGTAAAAAAAGAGAGAGAGAGAGAGAGAGAGAGAGAGAGAGAGAGAGAGAGAGAGAGAGAGAGAGAGAGAGAGAGAGAGAGAGAGAGAGAGAGAGAGAGAGATATTATCTGTTCTAGTGGCAGAGCGTCTGCCCGGAGAGATGAAGACCGAGGGTTCAATCCCCGTCATACGAAAGGACATTGAAAGATGGCACTAGTTCGGCAATAAGGGGGCTAATACACGGACTGGTCGGCTCGGAGTCACTATACTGTGTCTGAGAGGGTTATTCGTATTAGCGACATGGTATGTCAGTGGGCTAGCACTATAAAATCGGTACTAGTCCGGACAAGTTCAAGCACACACAAGTCACATACACACCGTGTCATTTACTAACATTCCGAAGGAATGCACTTACAGTAAGCTACGGTTATAACGAACTCGAAGGGACCACTAATTTTAATTCGTAATAAGCATATATACAGCATTTATACAACAAATGGTCGGGACTAGAAATAGTTCTTTATATCGGTCAATTCGTTATAAGCGTGTTCGTTATAAACGTAGTTAACTGTATGCACATGCGCTTCCTAAATTAAGAATAAGGAAAATAACTATTATGCATCCATATCAGAGCTAAATTCTTGGTAGCATGAAACTATTTTTGTCTGAAAAGCTAGTATTAGGCATAAACTTCATATGTTCTGCAGAATACAAGTAACCATTGACCAACTGAAAAACACAACTGCCCCCCAACGTAACATAACATAACATCTATTGGTGCACAGACATGGTGAACGTCTCACGTGGAAATCAATTTCATCTGTAATGTTATGTTAAATGGGATATGCACACAGAGGTATCTACAACTTACCTTGAACCATGTCTTGACTAGTACTGCACAAACGCAGTTTAACAGAGCAACACTTGAGTAATTTAGTATCCCGGTAGGTTTATATGCTACGTGTAGGCCATGAGAGGCTTCCCTCATCTGATTGGGTCTGGCGACAACGAATTAAATCCAAGACCGCAGCAAACGACAACAGGATCATGTTATTTATTGTGAATTGCTTTGAAAGATGAACGGACACGTGACAGAACGGCCCTGATGACTAACAAACCATGTCAGATGACCTTGGATATATCAGTCTTGTTTCAGAGGCGAAACAGATGAAGAACGCACAGAGCACTTATGCACAGTGAATGCTGCGCTATACAAATGCATATATTATAATCAGGTCTCACCCTTAACCTAACTGTATAGACTTGGTGCTCTGCGGCACCAACACGGGGCGTGACACTGCAAGACTTGGCTACACAAGGGCTTGTCGGAACCTTTGGTCAGAAGTAAGAAAAACTATATGATCATGATGTGTGTGTTCTATATGCTACGGGTTTTTGTTGATATACAAACATGTCTGTATAGTTACCGTGGGCATGGCATTCATGTCTGTTAATGGATAGTATGGAAATAGTTGCCCCAAACAAACATCTGTATATTGATTGTGGTTACAGTTCCTTTTTGTGTTTCAGTCTATATATTGTTGTGTTAGTTCTTACATGTCTGCATACATTATGCGGATGATGCTCATGTGTATGTTTGGATGTATACCTTTATATGCATCTATGTTTGTGTACATACACATTTATCGTTAGACCCGGGTAGAGAATAGGTCTTCAACAACCCATGATTGCTGTAACAGGCGACTATACTTGTCGTAAGAGGCGACTAACGGGATCAGGTGGTCAAACTTGCTGACTTGGTTCATACATGTCATCGTATCCCAATTGAGTAGATCGATGCTCATGATCTCAATCACTGTTTATTTGTTTGTTTGTTGTTTAACGCCGCACTCAGACATATTTCAGCTATGTGACGACTGTCTGTAAATAATCGAGTCTGGACCAGAACATCCAGTGGTTTATTTACAGACCGTCGCAATATCGCTGAAATATTGCTGTGTGGCGTTAAACAACAAACAAACAAAAACAGAAAACATGTATTGTTGACCAGCGTAAACAGACAGTGGGTATCATTCTACAAAAGTACATATGAATAATCAGGGAATTATACAAAATATACAATATAAACTCAACAACAAAAGTTCCTGAGACACCAATATTTTGTGTATTTTGGTTTTCAATACAGTCCAATGCAGTCAGAGACCATCCTCGGAGTGGAAGGCCATGCGTAACCAAAATAATCGACATGACATCTGGATTCGAACAACAAACCCATGAAATCGATTCCAGCCAGCAACAGGTGACTGCAACAAGCATCCCTGGATTGTTTAGGATTCTCTTCAACAAAACAACGTTACTGTCATTCCCTGGCCGGCTCGCGCCCCTGATCCAGCAGATATGGACACGTATCTCACATGACTTTGTGCGACGCCTGGTCCATTCCCCGAGACGAAGATGTGCTGCTTGCATCGCAACCAGATGGTGTACACACATGCTATTGATTTGTAAATTGACATTTTGGCATGTTGATGTTTTTTTTAAAATCACGCATTTTCTGAAGTGAGTATGGCAAATTAAACCATTTGAACACATAGAGGAGTCTTTTATCTGTTGCAAACCGAAATTGTTTCAGATTTGGTAAAAAACTTAACTTTGCATTAAATATTATTGAATGTCAAAGGAACTTTTGTTGTTCAGTATATACATACATACATACATACATACATACATACATACATACATACATACATACATACATACATACATATATAAATTCTGACAGAATAGAGGATAAGGAGGACTAAGCTGGTTTATTTTAGGGTTGGCACAAACATTAAGTTTAAATCCAGAAGAAATCTTAGAGAAGCACAGGATGCACCACTCGGGACACAAATGTCCAGACGCTTCCTCTGACATATGCCACCAACCTGACGATGGATAAAGCCAATATAATATATCACCATATGACGTCGTACGTGTTGTCAATATCACGTTTCAAGTCATCCAGGACGACACTGTTTACGACATGTAATGATTTAGTATAGACTAAACCTATAAAATATTTATCTCTCGTCTTGAAAATAGCAAAGAAATGTCACATAAAACATCAATCAAATGATAAGAACAATTAACTATTGAACAGAGTTATAATAATTATTTACTGAATGACATATATCTTTAGCTTGATATTCGAGAATGCTGATCATCAGGTAACGTGAAGAATGTGGTGACCCTTATTGTGTAAGACTTCCAAATTGAAACAATAGGAAAATCTAGAAATGTATGCGCCAAAACATTCAATAAGAAAACAACACATATCAAGGAAACGTATACAATTAGTACTGTCTTGAACTGTCCAGTGGCTGGTTTGGTTGTATATTTATAGTGGAACAAGAACGTGTTTACGTATCTCTCACACATTTCGTCTCTTACGTTTTTCTTCGCTTAGGTACCAGGTTTCTCGAGAACATCGGTCATCATCCCTGATTCCCTGCCTACCGGAAGCTTGGCCGTTGTCGACGCTGAGTGAATATATATCTTTTTGTCACTGACTTATCCTATCACCACTTTATTTTTGTATTTGATACTGACCACTGCCATCATATTATATTGCCATTGAATATATATTGTACTCCCACAATATTGTGTACTGCCACTGTCATTGCTGTGCAGTAATTTGTATTGATGTGTACCTAGTTAATTTTTGTAATACACTTGTTGATTTTATATTGCTTGCTGGTTGTTCACACTGGGTTCCTTTATTTACATATTTCTGGATTAACATATTGTTTCAATTTTGGAATTGACACGTAACATTGTGCAATCCACACATTCCGAAAACCATGTTGGAATAGTATCTTACATACATATATAAATTCTGACGGAATAGAGGATAAGAAGGACTAAGCTGGTTTATTTTAAGGTTGGTTGACGCATGTAGCCCAATCTTGGTGTTTTCCGTCAAATTATACTTTCTCACATTCTTTTGCATTGATGAGGGTCACCCTCCCTCTGAAGTGACATTCTCAAGAGACAAAGCCAGTGCCTGGTCAGGCTGTTTACTTTGAAGTGCTAACAGTGTTCCGCCCTTTCTAAACACGGCGACTTTACTTTGTTCTCAATTGATAACCAGACCTCACATCATAGAATAGTCATGAAGTTTATTTAATCTTCGTTGTAACTTTACAACATTACCAGCTACCCCGTGAAGATTCTGGGTAAGAATTGGTCTTCAGGAACCCATGCTTGTTGTAAGAGGCGACTAACGGGATCGGGTGGTCAGGCTCGCTGACTTGGTTAATACATGTCATCGTATTCGAATTTTGTAGATCGATGCTCATGATCTCAATCACTGTTTGTTTGTTGTTTAACGCCGCACTCGACGGTCTGTAAATAATCGAGTCTGGACCAGATAATCCAGTGACGGACAACATGAGCATCGATCCACACAATTTCTTTTCCAGAGAATTGCTGAGTGCGGCGTTAAACAACATTATCAGCCACCAAAACCATATCATCCACTAAAAGTAGCTGGTCATGTTAACTATTCATTCTGATACAAATACGCCGTCTTAAAATGAACTGTTTAAATATATAGCGAGTTCAAATATTAAATATATACATGAACTGCATGCTGAAGAACTTCTGGAAGACCCTTTCTAAATCTGGCGTAATATTCTTCAATAACGCATCTATTTGCAGACAAAGTTCTAGTCTCTTATTAAGATGTGTTTGTTTGTTTGTTTCAATGTCACCGCTATATAAGTTTTTTTGTGTAAATAAACGAGTCTCGACCAGACAATCCAGTGATTGACATCATAATCATTGATTCACCTAAGTGGTTGGTTGGTTGGTTTGTTGTTTAACGCCGCACTCAGCAAGATTCCAGCTATATGACGGCGGTCTGTAAATAATCGAGTCTGGACCAGACAATCCAGTGATTAATATCATGAACATCGATCCACGGTATTGGGACTGATGACATGTGTCAACCAAGTCAGCGAGTCTGACCACCCGATCCTGTTAGTCGCCTTTTACGACAAGCATAGTCGCCTTTTACGGCAAGCATGGGTTGATGAAGACCTATTCTACCCCAGATATATACAGGTCCTCTCTTTTCGAAGAAATGTGGACATTTTCCCAAACCCTGGTCAACTCGAATACTTATACCTGGACATAAAAACAGAGAAACGGGACCTACCCAAATAATTACAGAGGAATTACATTATGGAACATATATGTAATACATTTACTTATATTCTTACTAGGCACTCGTGAAGAGCAACCTCCCCGTGGTGATTGGTTTGGCGCTTCAAACCAATCTTCAAGCTGTTGCAGTAAGACTGACTTTGCACATAACGTTTACTCTGAGCTCTCTATATATTTCCCCTTCTTCTGCGCTTGAGCAATCAGACCTTTATAGGGAAGTGTTGCCGTTAATCCTAAAGGTAATGTCCTTGAAGATTTTATTTCCGATAGCAACTTGTGCATTTTCACTGATGGAGCAAGTACATATTTACATGCTGCTTCTGGTACCTATTCTACTTTATATTTGCCACTTACAGATTCCAATCTCTTAAACGAATTTACGTGGTCGTTTCGCAATGAGTTGTGTGGAAGCGATCATTTCCCTTCAATCCTAACATCAAATAATCCATCTGATCACCCACATCAAGGTGGAAATTGCCGACATAACCATTCCAAAGTCCTCTGCTAACCACACATACGAAAACTATAGTTTGACAATGAGTGCAAACAGGCGAGGATGTGCAGGAAAAAAGCAGAGAAATATGTCCGCCGACATCCAACTGTACATAATTTGAATTGTGTTAAAATCACAAATGCCAAGGCACGCCGTACATTCCAACAGAATAAGCATTAGTCTTGGGAGGAATTATGTCTCAAAAATTAATTCGCGCAAGCCAATATCCAAGGTTTGGAACATGATTGCAAAAATTAAAGGCAAAGGCTCCAAATCGACTGTCCACATCTCAAGGCAGGTGACCATTTATTAACAGATAAAGTGGACATTGCTAATAAATTGGGCGAGACGCTGGCAAAACACTCACAAAGAAGAGGTTGATTTTACTTCTCTAAATGGAAATGATTACAATGAAGTATTTTCGCTCCACGAGCTAAATACTGCCTTAGGTCAAGTGCACGATAATGCAACGTGAGCTGATATCATGGAAAACATTCACTATCAACTCCTGAAGCATTTGCCTGATTCATGTTTAGAGACACTTCTTGATATATTTGATCACGTTTTGACATCAGGGAATTTTCCTCCTTAGTGGCGTAATGCAATAGTTGTCCCCATACCTAAACCTGGTAGGGACCATAGTGATGCATCTAATTATTTACCAATATCACTAACAACCGGTGTGTGCAAAACCATGGAACGAATGGTAAATAATCGACGGTAGTGGTACTTGGAAACTAACAATCTCATAAGTAACATTCAATGTGGTTTCTGTCAAAATAGAAGTACCATTGATTATCTGGTACGTTTGTATCCTTTGTCAAAAATGCATTTGTCAATAATCAGCATGCAGTATCAATGTTAAAAGACCTACATGATTTGGGGTTAAGAGGCCGTTTGCCTCAATTCATATCAAAATTTTTAACAGACCGACAATTTCAGGTTCATGTGGGTTCCACCCTGTGTGACCATTATTATTAGGATCAGGATGTCCCACAAGGCACTATTTTGTCTGTAACTCTGTTTACATTACAAAATTACATTCTATCCCGTTAAACCCTGCATATAACTGTATATTTCAACCCCCTTACGAATAACTTTTTTCATAGTAAGCCTAAGCTGGTCCCACCGCTAGGCATTCGGATTAAACCCCATATTACAGCTGCAAATATTGATTTAGATAACATTTCGCCTTTCAGGCTTCTGTCTTCTCCCCCCTGGCAACTTATCAGACGGGAGGTAGACTTAATTCTTACACAATTTAAAAAATCAGACACGAATCAATTAATATACCAACAAGAATATATAGAAGTTAGAACTTAATATGAATCCCACCGTTCCATTTTTACAGATGGATCAAAGGATCGTAGCACAGTCTCCAGTGCTGCTGTCATTGGATCAAAAACCGTATCATCCCGATTACCAGACCATAGCTCCATTTTCACAGCTGAAGCCAAAGCCATATTAGCGGCTTTGGAAAATATTCAAAATCAATCTAGCAGGAATCTTCTCAGATTCTCTATCTTGTTTACAGGTATGAACATCGAGCTCTTCAAGTCATCTATTAATTCTAGATATTTATGAACCATATGATGAGCTTGCTACTGGCCAATACGACATCGTTTTCTGTTGGTTACCAAGTCATTTTGGAATCACGCGTAACGCTATGGCTGATGCTGCAGCAAAAGCAGCACTGAACAAATCTGTGACACCACTTTTTATACCATACAGTGACTATAAGCCAGTAATTAGATGTTATATCAAAGACCTAATGCAAAAGAAGTGGGACACTCCAGTGGGTACATAAATTACATGCAATAAAAGCAAATATCGGTTACACTTACTTGGGTTGTCAGTCCAGATTTTAAGAGGTCATTATGCGACGATGTCGTATTTGCCATTCGCGTTATACACATGAGTATTGGTTGAAAGGTGAAGATCCTCTATTTTGTGTCCCTTGTAATGAAAGAATCACAGTCAAGCATGTCTTGCTTGACTGTAGCTATTTTTTCATCACAGGGGATAATTATTTGAAAGTTTCATCCATAAAGGATCTTTTTACTGTAAGTTCTCGTCTATTTCTTGGGGTTTTAAAAGAAATAGAATTGATTGATACATTTTGATATGTATTGTAAAAAGTGCATGATTTTAATTTGGTAGAATGAATTAATAACTGAGATTGTTGGTGGCTGTACCTTCAAAGGGGGTTGAAGAAACGTAAAATAATTGTCCCATTTCATTCAAAGTATTTTTCATTTTCCATTCAGCATTATATATTCCTCTTAGAAACGTAAATATTACAACCAATGAAAATTCCGAGAAACCAGTGTTAAAAACGCAAAAAAAGATAAACCTTTGTTCGGAATAGAATGCAGGCGATTTTGAAAGAAATATAATAAAGCAAAAATGTGTCATAAAAAATAGAAAACATACCAGAGCACAAAGAATCAAAGTCTTACAGGAATGTATGAGTATATACGTGAATATAAAGACAATTTAAACAAGCATGAAATATCCCCCGTCAATATGACATGTCCAGTTGTGTGCAATGCATTAGCTCCTGTGAAATGTTCACTGGACCTTTTTGTAAATGGCCTAATTTCAGCACTATAAAACGTTATTAGTGGTAATGTTTTGCTGTCTGCAGTTTGTGATAGAATATGAAACTGTATTTGTAATGAGTAAGGATGAGACATATGGACGAACAATTTCTTTATTACAGTTAGGAGCGACATTTCAGTGTAGGTTCTAACACTGTTATCAAGCAAGTGAAGTACAGAGTATAGTTGACAAGAATATATACAGGATAGGAGGCAGAGTTCATACAGTTAAGTAGGTTTAAGATCAGTTACACTGTTGTATTTGTAATGAGTTGTGTTATTACTTAAATGAGATCAATGAGAGCAGGAGTCACCATGAGGTGTACTGAGAAGTACAGCACCAATCATCTGATGATCTGGGTAGTAGACTGGAGTCTGGAATGCTACAGCATTGGCATTATCAGTAAACAACAAGTCCAGTCTAGCTGCAAGACAGTGAGTTGGAGAGTGAATGAGTTGAGTCATTTTCCGCACATTAAAGAAATCTTCAAGTTTCAGTTTTTTACTCAGATGACAGTTGAAATCCCCAGTAACATGACATGTTCACATTCATGTTGCTTTGAGATATCCTGAAGTTTCTGCATGAAGTTAGTAAGAGAATACGTCAACCGTGTCTATGACACATTTGGAGGAACATACACACAAGCAATGCAGAACTTGCCAACAAGAAAGGAAATGTATTCAATACTGTGAGATGATATTATATGCAAGGGTGGTGAAGAAATATCGTACGGTTTTCAAGATCAGCTCCTGAAACGAGGACTACAGCCATTTTCAGGCTAAGTCAAAGTGGTTGCCATGGAAACTCGATTTTTCTTTATAAATTCCAAACTATCAAACGGCACCAGTTCATCATTAGACCTATATATATGCCACGTTTGGTGACGAAATATCATACGGTTTTCAAGATCTGCTCCAGAAAAGAGGACTACTGCCATTTTCAGTCTAAGTCAAAGTCGTTGCCCTTGAAACTCGATTTTTCTTTATAAATCTCAAACTATCAATCAGCACCAGTTCATCACTAGACCTATCCATGTGCCACGTTTGGTGAAGAAATATCATACCGTTTTCAAGATCTGCTCCGGAAACAAGGACTAGTCTGGTACATATATTCACATATCCTGACGTCATACTAAACGTAGATGTCCTAGAAAAGAATAAAACCTATTGGCCTCCATTCGATACGAGAAAGTCATACAGTTCAATGTTCTTTTTTCGTTTTGCTATCAACGTGGCTGTGACGCCTTCGTTGGTCCTGACGTTAATTTCCAGAAGGTCCTTTGAAAGAATGAATTTCACCATGTCTAGATTTCCCTTCTGACAGACCAAGTGAAGGATGTTCATGCCTCGTTTTGTCACCATTGACATATTACCCCCTTTGCTCAGAACGAAATCAAACACATCTTTGTCTCCCCTCAGGGCTGACACCATCAGTGGTGTCTTCCCAAACCCTTTTCTGCTGTTGATGTCCACAAGGTCAAGAGAGATAACATATTTAACTATCTCCAAATGTCCCCCAATACAAGCCGCATGAAGGATGTTGGTACATCCATAGCCATTTGACACATCACACCCTTTACTTATAAGTAAGTCAAACATTTCTCTGTTTCCCAGTCTTGCTGCCACCATCACTGATGTCCATCTGTGATGTCCTCTACTGTTGATGTCTACCTTGTTCAGCGAGAGGACATATTGTACCATCTCAACATGACCCCCAGCACAGGTGTAATGTAGGATGTTGTTACCTTGTCGATCTGTCAATGACACATTAGCTCCTTCACTTACAAGAACGGCAAACACATCTCTATAACCCTTGTTTGCTGCCATCATCACAGGTGTCCTTTTGCACTTCGTTCTACTGTTGATGTCAACAATATTCTGTGATAAGATATATTTTACCATTGCCACATGTCCCATACAAGAGGCTATATGTAGAATATTGTTACCGTGATCATCAACAAGTGACACATTACTTCCTTTATTTATGAGAAGGTTTACCACGCCCCCATGTCCTGCGCATGCTGCCGCCATCACTGGTGTCCTTGCCCGTCTGTCCCTGCTGTTGACATCCAGCTGCCCCTCAGACAAGATACGTTTCACCATGTTCAGGTTCCCCTCCCAGCATGCATCGTGAACTTGGTTGTCCATTGACCTGCCCTCCTGGTCACATGGTTTATCTGGTATGTATCTTTCAGGAGAGAACTGCTTTCCACCTGAATGAATATATTGCAAATTGTATACAAATATTTTAAATAAATTACCAGAGTTTGATTGTAGTCTTTCAATTCATTTTGTTTGTGTGGTTGGTGATAAGATGACTTGGTTGACAGTGTGGATTCGTACCCCGACGACATGGACAATTTCTCATGATACTGATCACTGGATTGTCGTGAACAGAACCGATTGTTTACAGAAGTATTGATGGATGCGGTATTAGGCAACCAACAAACAATACCTTTTATCTGAAAATTGTGAGTGGCAGTTGGTACCGCAATGCCCTATTGGCAAACACCAGGTGTCATTACTGATTTTCAGTGATCCATTCATATAAATTTTATCACTATTTGCTTTTTATCTGTTTGAGCACAGAATAGCAGCGAGTGTACTGTTTCTGTGGATGATAGTTTTCTTTCTGGAAATTTAACATTAAATGTAGAAATAAGTTGGGGCATGTATAAGAGATTTCATGTTTAATACATTCTTAATTTTGAGGAACATTTGTCTCAAACATAATGATGCAGTTACCTGTAACACAAACCGATTTTCCAGATCGAGCCTTCAAACATCGGGTCGTGACACTGCAAGACTTGGCTACACAAGGGCTTGTCGGAACCTTTGGTCAGAAGTAAGAAAAACTATATGATCATGATGTGTGTGTTCTATATGCTACGGGTTTTTGTTGATATACAAACATGTCTGTATAGTTACCGTGGGCATGGCATTCATGTCTGTTAATGGATAGTATGGAAATAGTTGCCCCAAACAAACATCTGTATATTGATTGTGGTTACAGTTCCTTTTTGAGTTTCAGTCTATATATTGTTGTGTTAGTTCTTACATGTCTGCATACATTATGCGGATGATGCTCATGTGTATGTTTGGATGTATACCTTTATATGCATCTATGTTTGTGTACATACACATTTATCGTTAGACCCGGGTAGAGAATAGGTCTTCAGCAACCCATGATTGCCGTAACAGGCGACTATACTTGTCGTAAGAGGCGACTAACGGGATCAGGTGGTCAAGCTCGCTGACTTGGTTCATACATGTCATTGTATCCCAATTGAGTAGATCGATGCTCATGATCTCAATCACTGTATATTTGTTTGTTTGTTGTTTAACGCCGCACTCAGACATATTTCAGCTATGTGACGACTGTCTGTAAATAATCGAGTCTGGACCAGAACATCCAGTGGTTTATTTACAGACCGTCGCAATATTACTGAAATATTGCTGTGTGGCGTTAAACAACAAACAAACAAAAACAGAAAACTTTTATCGTTAATATTTGGTACACCAGCGTAAACAGACAGTGGGTATCATTCTACAAAAGTATATATGAATAATCAGGGAATTATACAAAATATACAATATGTACTCAACAACAAATGTTCCTGTGACACCAATATTTTAGTGTATATTTCCAACAAGTAAGGTTTGGTTTTCAATACAGACGAATGCAGTCAAAGACCATCCTCGGAGTGGCAGGCCATGCGTAACCAATAATCGATATGACAACTTGATTCGAACAAAAAACCTACGAAATCGATTTCAGCCAGCAACAGTGACTGCAACAAGCATCCCTGGCCTTCGACGAATATCTTCACAAACCATACGTTGACACCTCAGGTGTGCAGGGATTGTCGCCAGAAGACCCGCAAGACGTCCCATTTTGACAGAAAACCACCGTCAAGCACGTCTACAGTGTTCGCAGACAGCGTCTACGCTGGACGGCCATGCAGTAGGGACAAGTTCTATTCACTGACGAGTTTCGTTTTCCCCTCAGCCATAGCGATTGAGGGATTCGAGTGTACCGACGTCGAGGTGAACGTTACGTCAATCATTGTGTCATGGAAGAAGATCGGTTCGGGGGCGGCAGTGTTATGGTATGGGATGGGATTACAGCAAGACAGAGGACCCGTTTGATAGTGGTGGAGGGAAATCTCATTGGACAGCGCTACCGCGACGAGCTCATCTTTCAACATGACAACGCCCGGCCTTATATTGCTCGACTTGTTCAGGAAATCTCTTCAACAAAACAACGTGAATGTCATCCCGTGGCCGGCTCGCTCCCCTCATCTCTCACCAATCGAGCACATGTGGGATGAGATGGATCGGCGCCTTTGACGTCAACCACGTGTTCCACTCCAGGAACTTCGAAACATGCTCAAGCAGATATGGACAGGTATCCCACAGGACTTTTGCGACGCCTGGTCAATTCCCCGAGATGAGGATGTGTTCCATGCAACGCAACCAGATGTGGACACACATGCTATTGATTTGTAAATTGACATTTTGGCATGTTGATGTTTTTTTATGAAATCACGTATTTTCTGAAATCAGTACGGCAAATTAAACCATTTGAACACTTTTATCTGTTGCAAACCGAAATTGTTTCAGATTTGGTAAAAAAATTAACTTTGCATTAAATCTTATTGAATTTCACAGGAACTGTTATTGTTCAGTATATATATATATATATATATATATATATATATATATATATATACTATATCCTGACTGAATAGAAGATATGGAGGACTAAGCTGGTTTATTTTAAGGTTGGCACAAACATTAAGCACAAAAAAGGAGTAAGCATATTGTTCATTTAGGGATATGTTTCCAAAGAATAACTGAAGGAATTGTTCATATATGCATTGTGACAGATCGTGAAAATTCATCACAATGTTGTTTTTGTTGAAACAACAAATGGCCAAAACGTAGCTTTCCCGATAAATTCTGTTTCTGTCATAAACATTCATGTAATTGATTTTTTCAGAATTTTGTATGATGCAGATTATTATGGGTCTCAACAGGTAAATCATTACAACATGTGTTAAACGTACTTCGGTTTGATTCCTCAGACGAAATATGTGTCCTGCATTCTTCTCAACATTCTTTGATTCAGCACTCAGTAGGTGGCAGGTTAGAAGTTCCAAATCGTATTCAAAACTCAAACAGCCACCTTGTTCAATACATCTGACTTGGCACAACTTAAAGCCAATGTTCTCGATCGTGACACAGTTTTGAATTGATGTGTCTCTTACGAAAAGGGTGCATGGACTCCTCCTGCACGTTGACAATGTTATAACAGAATAAGCTGCTACCATCAGAAGCATGTTCCCACTGTCACCGAGACACTTCATCCTTAAGAAATCTTAGAGAAGCACAGGATGTACCACTCCGGACACAAATGTCCAGACGCTTCCTCTGACATATACCACCAACCTGACGATGGATATAGCCAATATAATATATCACCATGTGACGTCCCCCGTGTTGTCTATATCACGTTTCAAGTCGTGTAGAACGACACTGTATACGACATGTAATGATTCAGTATAGACTAAACCTATAACATATTTATCTCTCGTCTTGAAAATAGCAATGGAATGTCAATAAAACATCAATCAAATGATAAGAACAAATAAGTATTCAACAGAATTATAATAATTATTTACTGAATGACATATATCTTTCCAATGATATTCGAGAATGATTATCATCAGGTAACATGATGAATGTGGTGACCATAATTGTGTTACCTCTCGACTTCCAAATTGAAACAATAAGAAAATCTAAAAATGTATGCGCCAAAACATTCAGTAAGAAAACAACACATATCAAGGAAACGTATACAATTAGTACTGTCTGGAACTTTCCAGTGGCTGGTTTGGTTGTATATTTATAGTGGAACAAGAACGTGTTTACGTATCTCTCACATATTTCGTCTCTTACGTTTTTCTTCGCTTAGGTACCAGGTTTCTCGAGAACATCGGTCATCATCCCTGATTCCCTGCCTAGCCCCTACCGGAAGCTTGGCTGTTGTCGACGCTGAGTGAATATATCTTTTTGTCACTGACTTATCCTATCACCACTTTATTTTTGTATTTGATACTGACCACTGCCATCATATTATATTGCCATTGAATATATATTGTACTCCCACAATATTGTGTACTGCCACTGTCATTGCTGTGCAGTAATTTGTATTGATGTGTACCTAGTTAATTTTTGTAATACCCTTGTTGATTTTATACCACTTGCTGGTTGTTCACACTGGGTTCTTTTACTTACATATTTCTGGATTAACATATCTTACTCACGCATGTAGCCCGATTTTGGTGTTTTCCATCAATTTATACTTTCTAACATTTTTTGCATCGATGAGGGTGCTTCTGAAGTGACATTCTCAAGAGACGAAGCCAGTACCTGGTGAGGCTGTTTACTTTGAAGTGCTAACAGTGTTCCGCCCTTTCTAAACACGGCGACTTTACTTTGTTCTCAATTGATATCCAGACCTCACATCATAGAATAGTCATGAAGTTTATTTAATCTTCGTTGTAACTTGACAACATTATCAGCTACCCCGTGAAGATTCCGGGTAAGAATTGGTCTTCAGGAACCCATGCTTGTTGTAAGAGGCGACTAACGGGATCGGGTGGTCAGGCTCGCTGACTTGGTTAATACATGTCATCGTATTCGAATTTTGTAGATCGATGCTCATGATCTCAATCACTGTTTGTTTGTTGTTTAACGCCGCACTCGACGGTCTGTAAATAATCGAGTCTGGACCAGATAATCCAGTGACGGACAACATGAGCATCGATCCACACAATTTCTTTTCCAGAGAATTGCTGAGTGCGGCGTTAAACAACATTATCAGCCACCAAAACCAGATCATCCACTAAAAGTAGCTGGTCATGTTAACTATTCATTCGGATACAAATACGCCGTCTTAAAATGAACTGTTTAAATATATAGCGAGTTCAAATATTAAATATATACATTAACTGCATGCTGAAGAACTTCTGGAAGACCCTTTCTAAATCTGGCGTAATATTCTTCAATAACGCATCTATTTGCAGACAAAGTTCTAG